TATTTTCTGTAGGGATATTACCCCACCTCTTAATATCACCCTCTCTCATACATAATAAGTTTATATGGGATTTGATCATAGTATTTTTCCGTTGCCTATATTTCCTAAATATTTAGGGACATCATTGAAAACAGCTTTTCTAACTTCATGAAGCTTTCCTTTTTCTGCTTTTTTTTTTTAATTATGTTAAAAACTTTGGCAATTCACCTTCTGATGTTTCCTGGTTCCGCTAAATTTCTTCACTTTTATCTGAACTCTTTCTTTCATCTTTACTGCCCACTCTTTTTTCTTTTTTCCATAATGATGTTATTAAACTCATACTTTAAGACATTGAAAAATTATAATATGAACCACTATGTGCCTTACATCATCTCACAGTAATCCTATAAGGTAGGTATTATTATCCCCCCTATACAAAAAAGAAACTGGGGCACAGAGTGTTTAAGTATTATGCCCAAAAGCACAAGTTTGTAATTAGTGAAGCCAAGAATTAAAATTTGACAATCCAACTTCAATTCACATGTTACCTAACAATGTCTACAGTACTTTCCTGCTTGGATATGAGGGACCCTCATTTCTCAAATCCTACCATGCTACCATTTTAAGAGCAAGCCTAAGCTTGCTAAATTCAAACACTAAGCTGCTACTGTCACAGAACCTACAACTTTTTGTACATTCACACAAGATTCCTCCTCTGTACCTACCCTAATCTTTCCAAATAATGCCATTACTTACCTTCCAAACACTCAATAGCTACTCTTAATCAGTCTCCATTGCAGGAAGGAGTGTGGGGAAAACATCACCAAAAACAATCCTACTGAGGAAAAGTAGGGTGACACAGACAGCATTTAAAACAGGGGTTCTCAGCATCGAAACATGTATATTATCTAGGGTGAAACAGATCACCAGCCCAGGTTGGGTGCATGAGACAAGTGCTCGGACCTGGTGCACTGGGAAGACCCAGAGGGATTGGGTGGAGAGGGAGGTGGGAGGGGGGATCGGGATGGGGAACACATATAAATCCATGGCTGATTCATGCCAATGTATGACAAAACCCACTACAATACTGTAAAGTAATTAGCCTCCAACTAATAAAAATAAATGAAAAAAAAAATAAAATAAATAAAACAGGGGTTCTCAAACTTGGCTGCATGTTGTAATTATCTATGGAGTTTAATAATAGCAGGAGCCTATGTCTGATCCCTCAAAGAATCTGATTATGGTCTAGGGTATGGGATTTTAAAATTATCCCCAGTCTCGTGGATTGCACAGTGATTTTGTGTTGTGTTGTGTATTAGTCAGTCATGTCCAACTCTTTGTGACCCCATGGACTGTAGCCCACCAGGCTCCTCTGTCCATAGAATTCTCCAGGCGAGAATACTGGAATGGGTTGCCATACCCTTCCCCAGGGAATCTTCTGGACCCAGGGATCAAACCTGGGTCTCCTGCATTGCAGGCAGATTCTTCACCATTTGAGCCACCAGGGAAGAATACCATATTGTATATTTGAAATCTGTTAAGACCCTAAGTGTTCTCACCACACACACAAAAGTAACTGTGTGAAGTGATGGATGCATTTTAATTAATTTGACTGTGGTAATCATTTCACAATATATATTAAATCATCAAACTGGACAACTTGAAAAAAATCACATTGCACAATCTAAATTTTTTTGTCAATTGATGCCTTTTCCCCCCACGCCACCAAGCAATTCTGAGTGGAGGCAAACTGGCTTGTCCTACCAATTAACTCAATTCTGTCACTATACACCTGGAGACAGAATCAGATCTTATAAGTTAAAGGTTCAGTTCCACAAGACTGCTCCCCTTCAGATACTAACCACAAGTCCAGGTTGTCAACTACACTGCTGACGCAATGACTGTAAACTGGAAGGTCCCACAACCCACTTCTGAGGTTCAATTAATTTGGAAGAGTGGCTCACAGAATCCAGAGAAACATTTACTTATGTTTACCAGTTTATTATAAAGGATACATGGACTCTGTGGGAGAAGGCGAGGGTGGGTTGTTTCGAGAGAACAGCATGTATATTATCTATAGTGAAACATATCACCAGCCCAGGCTGGATGCATGAGACAAGTCCTCGGGCCTGGTGCACTGGGAAGACCCAGAGGAATCGGGTGGAGAGGGAGGTGGGAGGGGGGATTGGGATCGGGAATACATGTAACTCTATGGCTGATTTATGTCAATGTATGACAAAACCCACTGCAATGTTGTGAAGTAATTAGTCTCCAACTAATAAAAATAAATGAAAAAAAAAATTAAAAAAAATAAAGGATACAGATGAAGAGGTATAGAGGGTGAGAAACAGAAGGGTCCCAAGCACAGGAATTTCTGTCCTCACTGGAACTGGGGTGTCCCCCCTCCCAAAATGTGATGCATTCACCAACACAGAAGCTCATCAAATCCCTTTGTTCAGTAAAATTTTTTTTTGAGCTTAATCTCCAGCCCTCAAATCTTTCCCTTCCTTGAGGTCAGTGGGTAGGGTTGAAAGTTCTAATTCTCTAAGTACTTGGTCTCTCTGGTGACCAGCCCCTTTCTGAGGCTATGGGTGAGACACAGTCCAAAGTCTTTTAACTCAGGTGTGTTCAGAAAGGCTCTGTATAAATAATAAAAGACACTACTATTGCTTCTGGAAGTGAAGACTGGTCCAATATTTGGGTTCAAATAATTTCACCTTTCCTTTAAAGGCTCAAAAACTCTTCTACCTAACCCCATTAACCATCAACTAAGATGAAAAAACTAAGTTCTTACACATTGATATCCATGATCAATGAGGACCAGTTTGCTCTAGTCACAGATACTGCCCTTACCTTTATTAAATTACAAGGCAGCATCAGACCAAATGCCCCTCCCTAAGAATATATATGCCTTGCCTCTGTTCCTATTTGTCATAAAGGGTGGAGTCAGCCATTGAGTATGTACATAATTAAAGTGTGGAGAAGATGTGCAATTAAACTTCTAATTACTTTTCTCTCATGAAAGCATGAATAATCTCTAGGCTCTAATCTCTATCCATTTGGCCTAAGACCTATCAGACCCCATCAGAGAAAAAACTTTCTGAGGTCAGCCATTTAGTCACAAAGGCATCTTAAAGTTTAAGAAAGGAAAAGTACTCATCCACTTAGGAAAATAGTTTAAAATAACTAAAGGAAATTGAGTCCTTCTCTTGGAGAAAAGCCCACAATCTAGCCCCACTAGTTTTCCAGTGTTATAAGTGTGCCAGTAAACTTTGACTTTCCCCACACACAGGCCCATCCTCTCTGCATCCGCCACAATCTTTAAGTGCTCATGGTTCTCTGGGACTCATTTTTGGGGGTATCCTCTTATCTTGGATCCATGTACCTACCATAACATTTCCCATGTGATACAAATGAACATTTCCTTTTCTTGTGCTCTATCCCAGGCGGCCTGTTCTTTCCCAACTTTCCTAATGCTATTGACCTTTAATATAGTTGTCTCTCCCATTACCATAGTTTTCACTTTTCTAAAGAAATAGGTGATACTAATTTAGCTGGTAAATCTGCCTTATATTCATTACCTCCCTATGTTTAATTTCACTGACCAAATGTCTACCACTTTCCACCCTAGAAAAAGTTCTTCTAGACCAATAAGAACTCATGAACATCTGACATATTATAGAAAAGTTCCCCTTCTCCAAGTCATAATTTCTATCTGTAATCAAATTTCCTTCGCAGAGAGATCTCTTAAATGACATGGCACATTCTCATGGGACTTAGACTGGTAAGGGTCTCTTCAAGTGGTCATATTTCTCCTCCCCTACCTGGTACAAACTGGCACAAGTTATTTCCACTGGAACCCTTTTCTGTTGACTTCTATCTCTAAGCCAGTCAGTTCCCTTTTCTTTATTTCTGGGAGAGCCACAGGATTACTAAAATCAATCCCTGGATATTACCAGGTCTCAGATAGCTCAGTTGGTAAAGAATCCACCTGCAATGCAGGAGACCCAGGTTCAATTCCTAGGTCAGGAAGACACCCTGGAGAAGGGATAGGGCTACCCACTCCAGTATTCTTGGGCTTCCCTTGTGGCTCAACTAGAAAAGAATTCCCCTGCAATGCAGGAGACCTGGGTTCGATCCCTGGGTTCAGAAGATCCCCTGGAGAAGGGAAAGGCTACCTACTCCAGTATTCTGGCCTGGAAAAATCCCATGGACTAGTCCATGGGGTTGCAAAGAGTTGGACATGGTTGAGTGACTTTCACTTTTAACTTCAGATTACTTATTTTTAGGGAACAGGTCTTTTTAGTCATTCATTCAATACACTGTTAGGTACCAGGCAAAAGGGACATAAAAATACACGCCTGGTTCCTAGCTCTAAAAAGTTCACAGCCTCTTATTATGCACATACATAACAAGTAAATTTCATATAATCATTACCCCTGGCCCATTTGGCTGCAGGCCATCCTTCTTTTTAATGGTGTGAGGCATTTAAACCTCCTTTACCTTCTGTGCCCAAAATATCAGTTTCAAGCCCCAGAACATTTTCCTGCTGTGCATTATAGCCAACGAGAGTCATCTGTAAGTGAGATTTATATATCATTTCTTTGTGTTTTAGGATACACAATGCAGAGATGGCCAGGAGACTCAAGAGTCTTTAGATAAGAAGTCACCACCTGACTTACCGTGTTTCTTGCATCTTGAGGTGAGGCAATATAGAAACAAAACACTGCTTTGAATGCTCTGGTCAGTCTAGGATGAAAGCAGGGGATATGGACAAGTTCCTGAGGATCAATCCATGCTCTAACCTGTCAGAAGCCCAGAAAGTTTTCTCTGAACATCATAAAGAAAGAGCAGTGTCTTTACTTTTAACCAATTATATGACATGCTTTGGGGCTATAATAAGTAAATCACTCTTTTCATCCCATTCCAATTGCTTCTGCTCTTTTTAGCTAATGCCTATCAAATCACTGAAAAGTATTACTTTTAGACGGTAAAGAATATATAGACCAAACAACAACAAGATAGATCACTTTGCATTTATTACATGTTTAACTGAATTTTTTTCAAATTACAGAATTCAACTCCAAAATAAGGCAACTAATGCCTGGAAAGCTGTTATTCACTTGCATTTTTCCCTCCTAAAATTTTAAAACAAATGAAAACAACACCTTAAAAGACATGTGAATAGGTTCAGTGCACTTCCAGTGGCTCACAAACATGAGACAAAGATCACATTAATCCATAAAAAAAAAATTGCTTGATATTTTAAAACACAAATGACATGAACTAAAATAAAGGAAAAAATAAAACTGCATTTTAACCAAAATTGTTTCCGTAGATTATAGAATATTTTTTAAATACTGCTCCTCTGCAGAGCACATGCTGTGCTTGGCATGCTTGGCACATCAGCACTTGGTAACTGTTCAGCTTCCATCTGCAGTTTTTTTCAGAAGGACCCCTACTCAGGGCCCACATTCCCCTGCGACTAATCTACTCCTCTGGTGGAAGCCTGCTCCTTCTTCCTCCACTGTCTCTTAAGGCTTTCCTGTCTTCCCTTTATTCTCCCCAGATTCACACTCATTGCCACCTATGTTCTCAGCAAAGATGCCCAGCAGAGAACTCACCAGCTGCATCTCCCCTCCACAAGAGCTCTCACTCCAGATGTCGCCCCTTTACTTGACTGAATTATAAGATAAAGAGACGATCTTGCCCACAAAAAAATTCATTCTTCCTACTTCATCGTCACATCTCCTACAATGCAGAAAAAGCTGGTGATGCCTGATCTACAACTTAAAACATTCATTAGTTTAGGCAGAATATATACTGCTCTGAAGTTCTTTAAAATCTACTCCTTTCTATTATTGTTTTTAAAAATCATAAAAATATAAAAATGTAAACATTCTATTAAACATTCAGCAGAAATCCTTTTATCCTACTTTTTATGCAGTGGGTTCAGAAAGAACAAAAGTGACACCACGTTCCCTCTGACAGACCCAAAATCATACTCCCAGCCCCAACCTACCATTACACATTTCCCACCATTAGCACTGGAGGCCAAGCGTGTCTCTCATGACAACTGCTGCTGCCACCCATGAACACCCTGTAACAAAGCAGCACAACAGCTCACTGTAATCTGTCCCAGCTAGCTGTCCACCTGCTTGTTGGGCACCTTACATCCACTGCTCCACACTCCACCCAGCCGTAGTGACCACACAAAAGGAAGCAGGGACACAAAAATATGAAGCACCTCTTCTGCTACACTCTACATTCCTTCTCAAAGTGAGAGGGCACTTCCTATCTCTTTGTCAGAGTATCAACAGGACTAGGTGGGGTGGGAAGGTGCTGCTGACAGAGGCAGCAATAAAGAGAAAGCCAACAGTGTCCACACTCTCCCGTCATTCATATTCCTGTCATCATGACAATGCTGGGAGCTTGAGAATGAATCTGATCTTCTATTCAAAAGGAAAAACCTACTCAGGAAATTCTAACCACTGCTCATTGCTCTTGTAGCAAGGTCTTACTGCATGCTTTTTTAGAAGCATGAAATTAACAAGGTATTTTTTTAATGAGTAATTTAAAAATTAATTTCTTAATGTGGCTTTTGTTTTTAGGGAGAGATATGCTAAACACAAATAACTAGTGAAGTCTATCAGCTTTGGGGAATTCCCTATCAGTTATGACTAATGAGACAACCTAAAACCACAATTCCACACCCGGGTGATAAACAGTACCAATTAACCAGAGTATTAACTACAATGACTTAAAACTATATTACCTGAATAGTTTCTACCATGAAGTATCAGAAAAAGTGAAATAATAAATATTTTCCACAGCACCATAAGGTTTTATAAAATACTCTGTTTTTAACATAAATGTATAATCTTAAGATTCTGGTCTATCATTCAAATTAGGCTTAACCTCTTTTACTGATAATAGTTCTGACAGAGGTCATATAGGCACAACTGTAACATGAAAATCATGTATTTTACTGAAGAATCTGTATGGTAAACTTAAGACTATCACTCTTCTCGTTGCATCCATTGAGTACTAGTGGATTCAAAGGCCAGGAAAGATGGTTTTGTCATTTGTACTCTATTCACAAATTTTAATGTGCCAGAAAAAATCTAAGTGGTAACTAAGATATTTGCCATAACTGAAAAGTCCTTTTATACCTGTTTACTTTAGTACTGTGTGCTCTTACAGGTTTTGTTTCTAAATAATAATATTATGTAAATGGCTCTGAGTTTTTAAAACAAGAATACAGTGATTCATTTTGAATTTTAAAAATCAATGCAAGTGGAAAACAAATTTTGTAGCCAAATTGTTTGCAATTATGTGTATCAAGTTATAATAAAAACTGTACCACAGATTGGATCCCTCAAAATCCAACGTGCTCATGGGTCTCCTGAAGTATTAGTGTGTGCTGTGCCAACTTAGCTCAATATTGATCTAAGCAAAACATTATTGAAAGTAATGACTTGCTGACCAAAAAGCATACACTGCATTCCAAAGCCAAATATGAATTCAATTTGGGATTATTAAGTTCAGGTCTCCCCTCCATTAACACAGAGAACTGAGACCTGGCTTTACTATAAATCAGCTTTAGCACTAGAGTAAATCTGCTATAAAATTATTTATAACAAAATAAATTATTTTCAGACCTTCTACACTAAGTAATATATATAAATCATTAGCAGTTTATAACATTAGCTTAGGCCACTTTTTAGGACCCAAACCTACTGTACAATCCTGAGTAAAAGGTTAGGGGTACAGTTTCTTGGGGATCTTTCTTGATCATGAACCATAAAGAAAACACACAAAACCACAACCTATAATAATCCCCATTTTCATTAGAAGTACCATTAATCCTTTTTACTTTGGTAAATAAGTTTATCTATGTAAACCATTTATTTTGATGGAGTAAAATATAAGCAGAGCTTTTGCTAGGATCCCTCCATCACTTTTTGACACTGATAAAGTAAATAGTCAGGAAGAGTAGAACAAGAAGATCTGAACCACAGGGCTAACATGTCACCATGAACTCGAAAATGCAGCAAGCAGGGGATGGATGGGAGCAGCTGACAGGCCAAGAGCCCTTCATTACCTACAACAAAACAAAATCAGAAATCCTTTAATACAAAAAGGCTTCAACAGACAGTTCTACAAAGAAGATATACAAATATCCAATAAGCACGTGAAAAGATACTCAACAACACTGATCATTAAGGAAATGCAAATCAAAACTAATGATTATGAATAAAATGACACACTACTTCATAACCATTAAAACAGCAATTATCAAAATTCTACTTTGGGGTATATAACTAAAAAAGCAGGGGCTCAAACACAGATTATTTGTATACCCATGTTCAAAGCAGCATCATTCAGAACAGCCAAAAGGTGGAAGCAAACCAAATGTCCATCAAAAGATTAACTGACAAATAAAACATGGTGTATTCATACAATGTGACTATATTTAGGCTTAAAAAGGAAGGAAATTTTGATACATAACATGGATGAACCTTGAAGACATTAAAAGTGAAATAAGCCAGTCACAAAAGGACAAATACTGTATGAGTCTACTTAGATGAGGTACCTAGAGTAGTCAAATTCATAGAGACAGAAAATAGGATGGTGGCTGCCAAGAGCTGCAGAGGAGAGGCAATGGGAAGTCAGTGCTTAATGGGGACAGTTTCAGTTAAGAAAGAGGAAAAGGTTCTGAAAATGACAGTGGCAATGGCTGCACAACAAAATGAAATATATTTAATGCCACTCACCAATACACTTAAAAATTATCAAAATGGTAAAATTTTGTTATGTATACTTTACCACACCAAAAAATCTTTTAATAAAGTCTGCATTACACACTTATCAAAAAGATGTTATAAGAGGATATACAGCCCTAAGAAATCAGATACTTTTAAGAGTTTGTTTTCTGATTGTAAGAAAGGCCCCATAAACACAAGATTGCCTTCTCAAAAACTCTACAAACCTATAATGTCAACAACATGAAGTCTTAGTTCCTGTTGCAGGGCCTTTAAGGTAGAACTCAGAGCAGCCTGAGATTCTGACATCTTTACATTTTGTTTCACATCATTTGCGAAGGATAACCAGAGTTTACCAAAGTCTTCAGTCGAGATTTTTAATGGCCTGAAAATAATTGTGAAAATTAGATTTATGTCCATAAGAATGAAATGATTCTAAACAAATACATTTCAAATAACTCATGGAAATTAAAAAAAATCATTACAAATCTAAATCCTATGAAATCCATGTTTTTTAAACCAGATATGATCAGAATGCTTACCATCATCCTCTAACTTGAAGACAATGCTGAAGACAGATGTTATTACAGAACAAATGTCTTTTCAATACATCACCCAGTTCTCTCTTTTTCTGCACATCAGTCATTACAGTAAAATTTCACCAAATAATTTCATGAATCATTCAAATATAAAACTTTTCTTTCATGTATACTTTAGATTAGAGCTTCCCAGGTGGCTCAATGGGTAAAGAACCTGCCTGCAATGCCAGAGATGCCAGAGATATGTGTTCACCTCCTGGGTCGGGAAGATCCCCTGGAGAAGAGCACAGCAACCAACTCCAGTATTCTGGCCTGAAGAATTCCACGGACAGAGGAGTCTGGCATGCTTCAGACCATGGGGTCACAAAGGTTCAAACATGACTGAAGCAACTGAGCACACATACTTTAGATTTGGGGATGAGATATTCTATCAAAGTCAAAGTCATGTACAAAAGTATGAATACAAAGATCTAGAACCTTAGGCAAACTGGACCGAGAGAAAGAATTTTAACAAATATAGTTTTTAAATGGTTCAGGCAGCTAAAGATCAAATAGTTAACACTGGGATATCTCTGGGAGGAATGGGAAAGTTTTATATTCTACTTATATTTGTCTATAACATTTAAATTCTTATAATAATTAAGTACTGATTTTATAATTAGAAAAAAAATTTTTAAGATACAGAGGATTTTACTCATAAGAACAGAACTGTTTGTGGCACATATGCTGTGCTTCCTCAGGTTACTAATGTTCACCATGGGAAGTAACCTTCATAGTCACAGAATGTAAGTTTTTTCAAGGCTGGATTTTATCTTTTCAGCACCACAGGTATAAATACATACTCTTTGACAGACTGATAAACATGTTCTCACTAAAAGACTTTGAAGAATGGGCAAAAATTATAGATGGATGTGTGAAGGTTAAAAAAATTCTTTACAGATATTCATTGGTATCTACATTCTTGGTTCAGGCATGCTTCATTTTAAAAAATGTTTGAACACAGTAAAATATATTCATAATACTAAATGAGAGCAGAAAGGTTAAAAGGTTTTCAATTATGTGGGTAGCACTGCACAATGCTAGTACAATAACTAAATACTGTATGTCTAATAAAAGCTTAATAACTTTACTGGTCATAGCAAACACCCTTTTCCACAACACAAGAGAAGACTCTAAACACGGACATCACCAGATGGTCAATACCAAAATCAGACTGATCATATTCTTTGCAGCCAAAGATGGAGAAGCTCTATATAGTCAGCAAAAACGAGACCGGCAGCTGACTGTGGCTCAGATCATGAACTCCTTTTTGCCAAATTCAGACTTAAATTGAAGAAAGTGAGGAAAACCACTAGACCATTCAGGTATGACCTAAATCAAATCCCTTAGGATTATACAGTGGAAGTGACAAACAGATTTAAGGGACTAGATCTGATAGAGTGCCCGATGAACTATGGACGAAGGTTCATGACACTATACAGGAGACAGGGATCAAGACCATCCCCAAGAAAAAGAAATGCAAAAGAGCAAAGTGGCTGTCTCAGGAGGCCTTACAAATAGCTGTGAAAAGAAGAGAAGAGAAAAGCAAAGGAGAAAAGGAAAGATATGCCCATTTGAATGCAGAGTTCCAAAAAATAGCAAGGAGAGATAAGAAAGCCTTTCTCCGTAATCAGTGCAAAGAAACAGAGGAAAATAATAGAATGGGAAAGACTAGAGATCTCTTCAAGATGATTAGAGATACCAAGGGAACATTTCATGCAAAGACGGGCACAATAAAGGACAGAAATGGTATGGACCTAACAGAAGCAGAAGATATTAAGAAGCGGTGGCAAGAATACACAGAAGAATTGTACAATAATGGTCTTAATGAACTGGATAACCATGATGGTGTGGTCACTCACCTAAGAGACGTCCTGGAGTACGAAGTCAAGTGGGCATTAGGAAGCATTACTACAAATAAAGCTAGTGGAGGTGATGGAATTCCATGAGCTATTTCAAATCCTAAAGGATCATGCTGTTAAAGGGCTGCACTCAATATGCCATCACATTTGGAAAACTCAGCAATGGCCACAGTATTGGAAAAGGTCAGTTTTCATTCTAATCCCAAAGAAAGGCAATGCCAAACAATGTTCAAACTAGATACGGTTGTGCTTATTTCACATGCTAGCAAGGTAATGCTCAATATTCTTCTAGCAAGGCTTCAAAAGCATGTGAACCAAGAACTTCCAGATGTACAAGGTGGATTTAGAAAAGGTAGCAGAACTGGAGATCAAATTGCCAACATCCATTGGATGATATAAAAAGCAAGAGAATTTAAAAAAAAACACACTAATTCTGCTTCATTGACTATGCTAAAGCCTTTGACTGTGTGGATCACAGCAAACTGTGGAAAATTCTTAAAGGGACAGGAATACCAGNTGAGAAGACTCTTGAGAGTCCCTTGGACAGCAAGGAGATCCAACCAGTCCATCCTAAAGGAAATCAGTCCTGAATATTCATTGGAAGGACTGACGCTGAAGCTAAAACTCTAATACTTTGGCCACCTGATGCAAAGAACTGACTCATTTGAAAAGACCGTGATGCTGGGAAAGACTGAAGGCGAGCAAAAGGGACAACAGAGGATGAGATGGTTGGATGGCATCACCAACTCAATGGATATGAGTTTGAATAAACTCCAGGAGTTGGTGATGGACAGGGAGGCCTGGTGTGCTGCAGTCCATGAGGTTGCAAAGAGTTGGACATGACTGAGCAACTGAACTGAACTGAAACATTAACATTAGTTTCTCTCAGAAGTTTTCCATAGGTTGGCCATGGAAACCTATACAGGGTCCCCCACACTACAATCATCCATCACACCATTTACTTCCTGTTCATAGCACAATTCACAGTTATACATGCATTTGTATGACTGTTCAATGTCTCTTCCTAGAATGAACTCTCCCCTCCCTAAAGGCAGAAGTGTGTCTAGTTTTGAGCTGTTATACTCCCTAGCACCTTGTACAGTGCTCTGTCCAGAGAAGAGCCTAGTAAATAGTTGCTGAATGAATGAACAACTTGAATTAATATTCCACAAAGTATTTACCTAATGAAATCTAACAGTGATAAGTTTACTGAAAATTCAAGCTGAATAGAGTGAGTATCCATAACTTGGTAAGTTATAAAACCAGACAGATTTCCTTCTGCAAAAGGTTTTTCCATCTGCACACTGTACTGAAAATTTTTGGTGCTTTCTGCTTCTATTACAGGCAAACAGCATCCAGGTTGCTCAGTGATCTGTAAATAAAAATAAAGTAAGTACTGAAGAAGGTATCAATACAGACTTTCACATGAATACCAATTTTCTATTTAACTGAAGTAGTACAAAAGCATACTATGGTGAAATATTAATAACAAGCCACAACATAAGGATAACTGACAACTTCACTTGAGAAAAATTCACTAGCACAGATAATTAAGAAATAATAATATATTGGTCAGAATTATGTAACAAACAGCATTACAATGAAAATGTCTGTGTGATTTAACAACAACAACCAAAAAAAAAACAACAACAGTCATGTGGCTCTCAATACTAACTAGTACCAGATTTTAAAGCTAGGAGAGTTTAAAGAAAAAAAAAAAAAAAAAAACAGGTATCTTTCCCTCTCATTCTCCACCCTTACTCAAATCAAGTTCTGGTGGTAAAGCTCAGACAACTGAATTGGGTTTGGGTTTGTGCTCTTAGGTTTTTAGAATTAGGTGGTTCTAATGCACATCGATGGGCTTCCCTGGTGGTTCAGCAGTAAAGAATCTGCCTACAGCGAGGGAGTCGCAGGAGACATGGGTTTGATCTCTAGGTCAGGAAGGTCCCCTGGAGGAGGGCACAGCAACCCACTCCAGTTCTTGCCTGGAGAATCCCACGGACAAGGAAGCTGGGCAGGCAACAGTCCATAGGGTCGCAAAGAGTTGAACATGACTGAAGCAACTTAACACAGCATGGCAGCACAATGCATGCATCTACAGTTAGGAATTTCTGCCAGGGGCCTGGGTAACATCCCACTTAATGCATTCTAGCTCATAGAAGAAACTAGATCAGTTTTCTCAGTCTTCTCCAATACAATCTTTATTATGTTCCCTTGTCTCTTTTGAATTATTTGTCCCACCTAAAATAATTTTAAAAATCTGTCACATCTTTCACTCTTTTTGCTAAAGAAGAAAAAAGGATGTGGGAGAAATTTATAAGCCATCAGAAGAGTCAACAGCAGAAACATTAAGGAAGCACTATCTATTTAAGGCAGAAATAATAAACCATTCGCGGTCTTACCTTGAAATTTTCTGCAGACGCAATTTCTAAGTTAGCACTTTTCAGTTCCGAACCACTTTTATTAAAAACTGACCAGACCACCAACAAACAATCATCTTTCCAAATTTTGTAAGAAGACACAGATATGGTTTCATTATTACAGACCTCCATAAGATCTGAATGTATGTGCTCACTAGTTTCTTCCAACAAAGAAGAAACTAAAGAGATTTCATTGGCAACTGAGGCTGCAGTGGCTTGAGGAGGGTGAAAAACTTCCATGTTGTTATCAGCAAACAAAGAGGGTGTAGACAGCCTGCAATTTGAGATTTTCTCAACCAAGGGAAGTTCTGTCAGTGACTCCGAATCCAAAAGTTCTGAACTGAGAGAAAACTTCTTTAATTCTTTGTCTCCTCTATCCTGCAAATTATCCAAACAATAATCTTCTTCATAAGTCACATTTGATGAAGAACTAAAGGAAGAACGGATTATATTTTGATCAGTGGTTGTTTCCTCACTTTTGGTTTCTTTGATTTTTGATTTCCTTCTAAACTTGTGAGAAATGGTATCTGCTTTTCCGAGCTGCAAAGATAAAACATAATAATATAAAAAGAAACCATTCTACTAAGTCATGAGTCAAACTTTTTTTTTAATAATTTCAAATGAGCAATGTAGTAACTAGCTAAGGTTCTACCTATTAGAGATGGATAAAATGTTAAGCCCTAAAATTCTGACAGCTACATAACTCTGAACTATTAAGCTAAATCTACTTCTCATTAAAAACACATAAAATAAGAAAAAGAAATAAGGTCAAAAAGTCAACAATGAACAATTCTAAGTCTTGTTAGACTTCAGAATGCTAGGGTACAGAATTGCACAAATTAAAAACAGTGCGAAAGTTAGCAATTTTTTGTTTCGAGTTGTCCTGTAGAAGCTAAAATACCCTTAAACATAGGAATGGCTCACACTTTGGTTCAGCAATCTATAACAGTCCTATTTTTACGACCTGTGAGTCAATAAACAAGGAAGAAAAACTGACTTTACCTTAATAATCAACTAGCACTTGCTAACTAGAACACAACAGAAGGAAAGAATTCTAAAAGTGACTAGTGAAGTATGTTACAGACTCAGGGGATGGGAACAGCAAATTTGCTATTCTTGAGCTAAGCCTCCCAAGGAAATGGCTGAGAATCCATGCAAGAAGAGTGATGACTCAAGTGACCTCTTGCCTCACAAAGTTCTATCTAAAGTCAGTGCAGCAGACTGGCACTACTTTAAGTTCATCTTCCTGCGTGGCCATCCTTCACACTATTCTAGCTAATCAGAATTCTAGCTCCCTTTTCACATCCTCTCATCCCCTCAAGTCCCAACATCTCTTCCAACTCTCAGCAGGTTACGTCCATCTCTGACCTTTCAATTCAGAAGTCATCAAACAAGAACTAACATTATATTAACACAAAAATGAAAATAAGTTGAGGGATGGGGGAAGGAGAGGACTTTCATTTCGGGTAGCCACAGAACTTGAATTAGATATGTACTAGACTGCTCAACTGGAGAAGGAAATGGCAACCCACTCCAGTATTCTTGCCTGGAAAATCCCAAGGACTGAGGATGCTGGTAGGCTACAGTCCATGGGGTCGCAAAGAGTCGGACACGACTGAGCAACTTCACTTCACTTAGACCACCCAATATTGTCCTCAGATCACTAATGCTGTGGGTTTTTTGTTTTCTCTTTTCTTTCTGTGTTTCATTTTGGATAGTTTCTATTACTTTGTCTTCAAGCATAATGATCTTTTCTTCTACACTATCAAAGCTGCTATTAGTTAGAAGCTACACAAGCCAGAAGACATGGGAGTAGCCTATTTGTCAGACTACTTAAAAGAAACAGTCAACTTCAAATTCACAACCCAGAGAAAATACTTTTTTAAATGATGGTGAAATAAAAGGCAAAGATGTGGGGGGGAAAAAAAACTTTTAACCCCCACACTAAACTATGTTAAAAAAATTAACTCAAAATGGAACAGACTTAAAAACTAGTTAAAATGAAATACTCAATATAACCTTGATCTATGTAACTGAAAACATTAAAAATTAGAAAAATAGGAAAAGAACAGGATTGGTAGAGAAAAGCAGCTATCCAAAAGGACTTGTCCATTTTGCCCCAGTGAGCAACTTCACTTCACTTAGACCACCCAATATTGTCCTCAGATCACTAATGCTGAGAGAAAAGTTAAGGTTGCCAGGTAATTTTACACGTTATCCCGAATGTATTATTACACTGGAAAAGTCCCTTATGTTGGGAAAGACTGAGGGCAGGAAGAGAGTGTCAGAGGATGAGATGACTGGACAGCATCACCAATGCAATGGACATAACTTTGGGCAAACTCTGGGAGATGGTGAGGGACAGAGAGAGGACTAGAATGCTACAGTCCATGGGGTTGCAAAGAGTCAGACATGACTGAGCAACTGAACAACAACATTATTACACGTATTATTAAAAAATAATATATGCTAATTTTATGTACTTATTTGCTTCCCCTCCTTTCTGCATGATGCCATCTGAGTTATAACATAGTTCCTCACATAATTCAGGGCCCCCTGAAACAGGGAAATACACTCTTTTTACCCTCTTTTTTTCCAACTAATTCTAGTGATAGCTTTAGAAAAAAGAAAAGTGTGAGGGGTAATGCAGAAAGGATTTAACGTAACTTAAATAGAAAAACATCCTACTTACATTTCTTATTTTGAGCCCACCAAAAAAAAATAAAAGTCTAATTAATTTATCACCCTGAATGTTCTCAGGAGAAATACTCTGAAAGCTATGCACTTTGTTGAGAAGGTAGAAATCCTTCAACACCCAGAAAAAGGCTCACCAATCAGGGCTTCATAAGCCTTGGAGCACCCTGACCCTGATGCACTCTGACCACTGAGAACTTGCCCTATTAGTGACCGATCATTCAATGGAAACTTCATCACAGCCTGCCAGAATAGCTCACGGACTCCAGATCAGTCACTGTGCTGCCGAACTACACGTGCTGAGACAACATTAAGATACATTAATTACCTATTAATACTTTTAGGATTAATTCAATTCACTTTTTCTGATATCAAGTCTGACAAAAATAAGCTCTGGAAAAGAAAGAGATACAGGCAAAGAATGTAGCCTAGAGACTTGACTAGTGTTGACAGAGATGGAGGGAAAATTCCACCAAGGGAGATGAAGGATGAAAAAAACTGTGAGATAAAACTGAACAAAATATAGCTCTAATCATAATTTTGCACTAGGTGGGATCATCTGCCCACCAAATGGAAAATTACATATGGAATACGCAGACATTCAAAAATGGCACCTGTCCTTCAAGCCACAGTTTATTCTTTTACTAAGAGAATAATATATCAGCATAAAAAGTTTTGCAAATCATCATAATCAAAATTTCTGAATATAATTATCACTTTTGCATAATTCCTTTCAACCTCAATACACTTTTATCTTAACAGTTACAAGCAATGTAAAAAAATAGTATTTTGGGGTTTTTTTTGCTTGATATATATAAGTATTTTTTAATTTTACAGTGCAGTATTTATCATTTTTAATGACAAAGTCATATTCAGTGCTAATATAATTTATGTACCCATTCTCTTAAGACATCTAAATTGATTCCTATTTTTCATTATTAAAAATAACCATTTTAAGAAGTACTTTTTCCATAGACACATCAATATTGTTGAACTATTACTATTTTTAATTTCCATCAAGTCCATTTTCCATTGAGACCTGTCCTTCCCACCCATGGGGGTGATAATACACATGGTCATATCTGCAACTTAATCTGGACGCTGACCCTTGCACTGACTAAAGAGAACATCTGACTGAAGCTGAGCCAGTAAGATTTTCTCCTTCAGGAGTATAAAAGGTATGTCACTTATAGCTCTGGAGCTGCAGGAGCCATTCCCAAAACATGTATAGATTAAGAGTCATGAACTTTTGTAGAACCAGTTTTTTTGTTCAAAACAGGGGACATAAGATTCTCAGAGGAATATAACTGACTACTTACCAAATTGATTGTACTTTCTGATCCTAGCCCAACAAACAATGATGATGCCAGCAGCTGCTTTTCTTTCTCCTCTTTAGATTGGGTAAGGACTTGAGACTGATCCTTTTTTGTTACAGTTTGATCTCCATTCTCCATTATTATACTCTCCTGTGGAACTGGAGGGGCTTCCGTTTCATCACCAGTTTTGCTTTCCTTCTTTGGAAGATAGCCCTCTTTCCCCCACAATTTCTTTATACCTTCCAGCTTCAAGCCATTTGTCCTAAGGAGATTGATAATGAAATCAAGTCAGTTTAAATAACTGCTAAACAGTTACCTTTATGAGGCATTTTATAAAAAACACATCTTTGTTGTCATCCTTTAGAAATAGCTTTCAGATTATATTCTATATGCCAGAAATAAAATTGAGATCTGCAGTTTTTTAGTTAAAGCCAACCTTCCAGTCAAAATATTTAATGCAACAGAACTCAAGACTTAGTTTAAAATTTCAGATCATTTAATTTTTGTTTAATTGTTTGAATAAGACGTCCAAAAACAGAAATACTATAAATCAGTTCCTTCCAATGTATGGACTTTTCAAAATTATCCTTACTTCTGATGGGTTAAAGATCAGAAATGACATAGTTTCATAGCTATAATCACTTAATGAAGGAATTAACACTCTAAATTCACTATATAAAATCCTGTGGAAAGCAAAAAAAAAAAAAATTCATTCAAATCTACTCCTATGTGTAAATTTACCTTTAATCCAAAAGGTTTTCTTAATATGAACACAATCTACATTTTTCACCTATTATTGCTGTTGTTTAGTCACTAAGTCGTGTCCAACTCTTTTGCGACCCGGTGGACTACATCCCGCCTAACTCCTCTGTCCACGAGATTTCTCAGGTTGCCATTTCCTTCTTCAGGGGTCTTCCTGACCCAGGGATTGAACCCACATCTCCTGCATTAGCAGGCAGATTCTTTACCACTGAACCACCAGAAAAGCCCCATTAACTATTATAATGTACATTAATAAAAATGAATGAGGTTTGGTCTATAAAAGATAAAAGTATTAATGATACTTTTGGAAAAAGCATGAATGTTAGGAGTTAATACCTGAGGTGAAGAAGAATAAAGCAGTGATTAGGATTAAGACTCATCTACTGTTGTCCCAAAAGCTACAGCTGCAAATCATAAGTGCAGGTTCAAACAACCAAAGACTGCCTCTACTGTTTTCATTTAAGAACCATGTGTCCTTGGCACCAACTCACGTTAAGTATCTCTGCCATGATCTAAAACTGCATTTTTAAAATTTGTGCTATAAGATAGGCAGACCATGACATGATTCTAAAATAAGATTTCAGAAATATCTGTACTGATTGTTATTCTACTTCAATTTGTTGGAATCATGGTCAGTTTGATTTTCTGCAGTACACCAGAAACATAAAAAGATCACTACACTTCATACTGAGTGGAGAACTAATGCTATTAAGTACCAATTGTCTAAAAGAAAGTCTTATGTTAATAAAGAACACCCTACAGGAAATCAGTTCATTCCTACTCAATGAATTTTACTGTTGAATGTTCCCTTATAAATATCTTCATTTCTCTCTTTCAGGTACCAAAGAGTTTTCTAAAAAGTTAAAAAACAAACAAAAACCTGTTATTTATCTATCAACCCTTTCAGAAGAAAACTGGCTGATCTTGTGTGAGCAGATAAAAAAGTCATCATGGGAGCCACTAAAATAACCCCAGCATCTCCAGGATGCTCAACAGCAACAACAAGGGATTCACGAATCCCCCAGGAGAATGACAGTGTTTTTGTAACCTTGTTTACCAAAACATATCCTTTAATTATTAAGGGGTAGTTTAAAAAAAAAAAAGCAACTCTCCAAATGATTCAAATATTAGTTTAATTAAAGAAAGTGTAGTAGATCCTGTGATGTTCCATCCAGATCCCCCTTCAATGAAGAAGTCACTGGTGCAGCTGCTCGGAGTGTAGAACCCTTAGGGATTTGCCTCAGTTGCAGAGTCACGTCAGTTGCGGAACATGCCTTTCCCCAGGCCACCCACATCCAATAATTAATGAACAGACATATAGAGTCCTGGCCACTCATTTCAGCCCAGCTCAGGACAGCTCTGATGGGCCATTCTAGCTCCAGAGCTTCCAAGGGAGCTGGCAGACACTGTTGTTGGCACTGCATTGATTCCTGACTACTTCTTCTGGCCAACCCTCTTCTTCTCCCTACCTTCCACAGTTGTTGATGCCAAGGACACTCCTTAATATTTTGCATGCTAAATTCCATCTCCAAATGCACTTCCCAGGGAATTCAACCCACAATAACAGGCAAAAATGAGAAAGGGGGGGAAAATGGAGCCTGCATTGTTGTTGTTGTTCAGTTGCTAAGTCGTGTCTAACTCTTTGTGACCCCATGAACTGCAGCATGCCAGGCTTTCCTGTCCTTCACTATCTCCCAGATTCTGATCAAACTCATGTCCACTGGGTCAGTGATGCCATCCAACTATCTCATCCTCTGTAATAGGCACACATGCCTATAATCAACATAAATTTTCACTATCATGCATTACGTATAGAAAGTCTAAACAGGAAGTATATGAGAGCAGCATAAAACCATTTCACACACAAAATATGCTTCTTTCTGATATTAAACATATTGTAAAAAAATTTTAAACATGAGTCATCTTTGCCTGGATTTTGACGATAGTAATATCAATATAATACATGGTTTTATATGGTATACCTTTGTGCTATTTTTAATCAATCAGGCCATTCAAACACAGATGTAAATTATGGCCAAGCAATCTTCAAAATTGCTGCCTGCCAGGCTCCTCTGTCCACAGAATTCTCCAGGCAAGAATACTGGAGTAGGTAGCTGTTGCCTTCTCCAGGGGATCTTCTTAACCCAGGGATCAAACCCAGGTCTCTCACATTGCGGGTGGATCCTTTACAATCTGAGCCACCAGTGAAGCCCAATGAAGCAACCTTCAGAAGGGGCTTCCCTGGTAGCTCAGCTGGTCAAGAATCCACCTGCAATGCAGGAGACCCCAGTTTGATTCCTGGGTCAGGAATATCCGCAGAAGAAGGGATAGGCTACCCACTCCAGTATTCTTGGGCTTCTCTGGTGGCTCAACTGGTAAAGAATCCACCTGCAATGCAGGAGACCTGGGTTTTATCCCTGGTTTGGGAAGATCCCCTGGAGAAGGGAAAGGCTACCCACTCCAATATTCTGGCCTGGAGAATTCCATAGACTGTATAGTTCATGGGGCCAAAAAGAGTTGGACACGACTGAGCGACTTTCACTCACTCACTCAACATTCAAAAAATTGGGAATATACTTTGAACTCCAGAAATTCCCATTCGAGGTAGGGTGCTGCTCTACAATAGGACTTAAGGTAAGAAATTCTAAATTGGCTTGCTATACTTTATTCTCAGCTTACCAGAGACTGAAGAAGAACCATCATCTCCTCTCTAAAGCTGATTCACCTTGCCAATTACCACAAGGTTCCTAATCCGAAATACTGTGTGAACTGTGGTCCTTTTTAGATAGAAATTTTAAATTCACCCTCACACTGCATTTCATGATAATACAGCATATGTATAATTCCTTAGCAGCTTTGCCTAATGTCATTTCTCTGAGAGCAGTACATGTACACGTATAGAATTCACAAGGTCCTGTCAAGTCCCCCAGACCCTAGTTCTAATACTAAAAAAGCAGATGCCATCATCTGTTGTTCAGTAAAAGGGACTACGTTTCCTCCCTGGATTGGGAGGGTTTGGGTTTTCTGTTTCTCCTTGCCTTGCCTCTCTATTCCCTGTCTAAGGTACTTAAATGCTATCACCACCACCACCATCATATGTTCATGGACCCTTTCTGCACCCCGTGCCTGTAATGCTGACATTAAATGTCTGGGAAAGAAAAGGGTGTCAACAGAGCAGGGGAGAAAAAGGTTAGGAAAAAGGTATTGAACTTATGCCATTTCACTTAGCATATCATTCTACGTTCCTCATACTCTGGCATTCTTTTGAAAAATCCTTCTTATAACCATCTCACTGGAACGCTGCCAAATGCAAAGATGAACATAAAATAAGGTCACCGAGTCAGTTCAAATGTCATCTTTCAAAGTTGTCACCGATGAGATTTTATCATTTATTCCAACAATGCTGCCATTACACAAAATATTTTTTAATTCTTTTAGAAGAAGCTCCTTCACAAATAAGAAAGCCATTTTCATTATTTTATGTCACACTTGTATACTGACCAGTTATCCAGAGTGACTACTAATTTTATGTAGTAAATTCAGCTTTTGGTTAATAACAATAATGACAGCAATGACAATTATTAATTATATTAGCTACCATTTATCAATCACTTCTTATGTACTGGGTTATACAAGGTACTTTGCATACATTATCTCATTTTATTAACTTGATCATAATTTCTACTAATTTATTCATATTTCAAAAATAAAAATTACCTAAAAAGGATGAAGATTTGGTTCCATATCAAGACGTTTAGACAAACGTATCACCAAATTTCACGGTGGCTGAAAGAAGCTCTGAAAGCATTCTGAACAAAATATACAGCTTTCTCAATTGAAGTCTGTCACCTTATTTTATGTTCATCTATATATCTGGCAATTTCCAATGAAATGGTTTTAAGAAGTAGATTATGAAAAATGTGGAATGATATGTTGAACACTCACCTGGGTATATAAGTTCTGACACACTACTTTAAAAATGTGTGTGTGTATACATGGTATATAGTAATAACACACACAAAGCATGTATACTTTCTATACTGTCTTGGAAGTAAGCAAGCTCTCTTAAAATATAAGGACAGGCTGTACACTATCAGCACTTTGAAAGCAATAAATAGAAACAACAACCCATGCAGAATTTAGCTTTCAGGAACCCTTCAACATTTAAAGACATTTAAACACGCCCATGTTCTCAATTTTAATAAGAAAGAAACTTACTCTTTTAGTCCGGTCTCTGTACTATTCCCAGATATATCTGAACCAAGAGAAATGCCAGCAGGAGACTGTCGTCCAGTGAAGCCAGATGAAGAAAAAGAGAGTCCATATGGTTCAAAATTGAGAACTAGAATTTTAAAACAAAAACAGAGGTTCATATTTAAAACAAAGCAAAAATTATGAAAAAAAAAAAAGCAAAAATTATCAAAGGCACCATTTAACACTGAAATAAAATAACTGAATACCAGAATTCAGTGACAATTTTTAAACTGGAAAAGATTTGGGAAATAATCTAATATTTATAGTAATAATAATAACAAAGCAGCTATTATTTATTGAATCACTACTACAGTTTTCAGACAATTAATTTATCAAAGACAAACAGTCTTTCATTTTTTATCTCCCTTCAAAGTTAAAAACAATTCAACCAGGAAAGACAAATGATAAACCAGGTCTACTGAAAAGTTGCTCTTCTCAAATGTTTAATGAACTATGAAGAGCTGACCATGTTTTTGTTTCACAAAATGCTCTTAGGCACATTCCTGTACCAACTGGACTGATGGAACCTTCGTAAGACAAAGAACAAGGTTTACCCAGGTTCAGGTTCCTTTGAGTCTGTATACCCAAGTGATTCATCCAGAGCCATAAAATTCATATGGTGACTGTGGTAGAGCAGATGCTGATATCCACTCTCCTCCTCCTTATAAGTTGCAGAATCCTCCATTCTTAACTAGGTAAATGCTGCTGCTACTGCTAAGTCACTTCAGTCGTGCCCGACTGTGCAACCCCATAGACGGCAGCCCACCAGGCTCCCCCATCCCTGGGATTCTCCAGGCAAGAACACTGGAGTGGGTTGCCATTTCCTTCTCCAATGCATGAAAGTGAAAAGTGAAAGTGAAGTCGCTCAGTCGTGTCCGACTCTTAGCGACCCCATGAACTGCAGCCCACCAGGCTCCTCTGTCCATGGGATTTTCCAGGCAAGAGCACTGGAGTGGGGTGCCATTAAGTTACAGAACCCTCCATTCTTAACTAGGTAAATAGCCACCCAGAAAAGAGATGACATTTCCAGACTCTTCTGCCATGTGACTGAATTCTGACCAATGAAATTATATGCACATTTTGTGCATAACTTCTGGAACGAATCCTCCCAGAAGAAAGAAAAAACTTCCTCCCTTCCTTCCTCTTTTATGTTCATAAAACCATCATCAATACTAGCCTGCCTACTTCCAGATTTCTTTAATGGGAAAAAGCAATACCCTCTGCCGTGCATAAGGCCCCGTTTTCTAACATGCTATTTAACTAAACGTAATCCTAAGTGGCTCATTATCTCTTTGGATTGCCTATTTACAATAAAAAATTAAGTTGCTCAGTCCTGTCTGACTCTTTGCGACCCCATGATCTGTAGACTGCCAAGCTCCACCATCCATGGAATTTTGCAGGCAAGAATACCAGAGTGGTTTGCCATTAAAAACCTTCTTAAATAGTAAAAAAGTAACTCAGAAAATAAAATGTAAACTTCTGCAATTATTATCCTCTCTTTACAAATGAGGAAACTGTGGTCAAACTGAGCCTACCATGAAGACACCCAAGAGTACAAAGACAAGAAATGAAAGAGGCAGATTCAACATCAGATACTCTGGTTCCAGAGGTGCACCCTCAATCATATTACACACTGTCTCCTTCAAAGGAAACACCACCTAATCCAAGTGTACTAAATAAATCAGCCTGTTTGTTAGCTAAATGAAAGACATAGAAGAGAACTACCTCTCAGTAGAAAAAAATAATGGGCTCATTAATAATAATCAAGAGAACCAGTTCTTGATGTAGGTTGGGTGTTAACTAGATTGTGAAATAGAACTTAATTTCTTTTGTCTGTAAAGTGGAGATCAGCAGTTTCCAAGATAACCAAGAATAAGCTGACTTCACAGAATCTACAGATCTTTTTATACCCATAAGCAGGCTTTCAGAGACACAGATACAAAAGGTATAGGAGTAAGAATCAAAAATCTGTATCATTTTTTCAAAACTCTCTTTGTGATTCTGATTCTTAAACATGTTTGGAAACCACTTGTCTAAGTCTTTATAAGGTCCTTTTCAGCTAGAATATCCTCTCATTTTAAGCTTCCAAATCATCTGCTTTAACCTTCTATCCCATATTGGCCTCTTTTAAATAGCATCTGAGACAGTCAGCCGTCAGCCTCTGCACTGACACTTCAGTAATAGTAGAGCTCAAGAAATGTTTCAAGAGTTTAAGACAAAGAGCACATTAAGATAAAAAGTTTAAGCAAAGACCAGAGAGAATTCAAAATTAGAGGTAAAAAGTTGAAAATGGAGGGGAAAAAAAAGACTAGACATGAAAGAGGACAATATCTGGAGAATAGTCAGATAAGATTCTGATTGTGATACAGAAGAATTAAAGCTTGTCATCTAAGAAAGGCTGAGAAAGGCTTAACATTGAGAATAACATTCAAACCACATTATTTTCACTAAGTGAAAATTTCCCAAGAGTCTTACAGAGATAAATGACTAGAGAGACAAAAATTGGAGAGAGTTAACTAGATGAATATGTGCAAACTGGGGAGCAGGAAGAGAATAATGCTATACAGAGAGTCAGGAGAAGACAGAAGAGGGCTGAATTGAAACTTAGTGAATATGTAGAAGCTAACCAGATGAAGAAGGAGGACAAAGAGCAATTCATACAGAAGAGAAAGCATGAGCTGGAAGCAGAGAGAGTCCTCGGAAGTTGGGAGCTACCAAGAGTAATCCAGGTGAGAAATAAAAAATACAAACTATCCTGGGCATAAGTAATTCAATATTTAACTTGTTTGTATCCTTCACAACTTTAGAGGCCTTGACTATATGCACATTCCTTCTTTATCTTATCTTGTACTGCAGTTCTTTTATACCTTGATCACTTGGCTATACGTCTCTGACTACCCCCAGCTGTTATAAATTTTATTTTTTGAGAGACGAACAGTCTCAACTTGATGTGGTTTTCAAAAATCCTTAATTTTGTAGATAGGAGTTGCTGCTGCTGCTGTTCAGTTACTAAGTGGTGTCCAACTCTGTGTGACCCCACGGACTGCAGCATGCCAGGCTTCCTTGTCCTCCACTATCTCCTGGAGTTTGCTCAAACTCACTGAGTCGGTGATGCTCTCTAACAAGCCCACCTTCTGCTGCCCCCTCCTCCTTTTATCATCAATCTTTTCCAGCATCAGAGTCTTTTCCAATGACTCAGCTTTTCACATCAGATGGTCAAGGTATTGGAGCTTCAGCATCAGTCCTTCTAATGAATATTCAGGGTAGAATTCCTTTAGAATTGACTGGTTTGATCTCCTTGCTGTCCAGGGGACTCTCAAGAGTCTTCTCCAGCACCACAATTCAAAACCATCAATTCTTCAGCACTCAGCCTTCTTTAAGGTCCAACTCTCACATCTGTACAGGCCTACTGGAAAAACCATAGCTTTGACTATATGGACTTTTGTTGGCAAAGTGATATCTCTGCTTTTTAATATGTTGTTTAGGTTTATCATAGCTTTCCTTCCAAGGAGCAAGTGTCTTTTAATTTCATGGCTGCAGTCACTGTCCACAGTGATTTTGGAGTCCAAGAAAATAAAATCATTGCTTCCACTTTTTCCCCCATCTATTTGCCATGAAGTGATAGGACTGGATGCCATTATCTTTTTTTTTTTTTTTAACAGAATAATCAAAACCAATTCCTCAATGCTTCTCTTGGGTACAAACTGGTAATAAGTTTGTTCCCCACTATTCCACCCATTTTTGCCAATTCTCAGTATCTTACAATATTTTCCTCAAATTTGTTGTTAACATGCTTGGCATTTTTCCACCCAAGACAGTGAAGTACTGTATCCTTCATAAAAGTGACATTTAACTATAAATTATTTACAAAAATTTCAAACAAGATCAGCATCAGAACCAATTGACATTTCAACGATTCCAGAATTAACAACTTTTTAGACTGAAAGTACCTATTTTTCACCAACTTTTTACTTCTTGTCATTGCCATCAAATCATAAGATACATGACTTTATAACTTACCGCTCAAGTACTTACTAAAGCACTTACTATGTCCTGTTTTGTAACTGATTTCCTTACCATGATGGAACAGACAGTCTAGGCTCATAAAATTTCAATTTTACCTTAGAGAACTTTTAAGAAATAGATTTGGGAGGAGAGGAGAAGAGCCTAATTTGACAGTTTAACCCCATTTATAACAATGAATCTATGATTAAAAATGTACTTGGCAAATTAATACACTAGCTTGGGGAGTTTAAGGGCCCTTATATTTGTCTCAGCCACTTAACTTATTTTAAGAAAGAAGTCAGGGAGTGCCAGAAATTAGGCTCCCTGTCCTACCTCCCCCTCTCTATTCTAGCTTTGAATTGCAGTAATAAGAGCAACTGATAGAGAATTCCTGGTGGTCCAGTGGCTAGGGCTGCATGCTTCTGCTGCAGGGAGCACAAATTCAGTCCCTGATTAGGGAACTAAGATCCCATATGCATAAGGCACAGTCAAAAAAAAGAGCAACTTATAACCCCCAAACATTTGAAAATAAGGAAATATGGCAACTGGACCATGTCTCCCATTCCGGAACTCTGCATTTTTCACTCTGTGCCTTGGGTATCATAAGACATGCACCAGAGTCAGAGGTTGGGTAATTATAATTTAAAACTTTTATTTCCCCCTCTATATGAGGGTTAAAGAAGAAGAAAACTGATTACCCTTTGAAGGAAAATAGAACTTTCTATGCCATTAGGTTTCACTGTACTAAATAATGTACTAAACTATAAAGAGAGCTGAGTGCTGAGGAATTGATGCTTTTGAACTGTGGTGTTGGAGAAGACTCTTGAGAATCCCTTGGACTACAAGGAGATCCAACCAGTCCATCCTAAAGGAGATCAGTCCTGGGTGTTAATTGGAAGGACTGATGTTGAAGCTGAAACTCCAATACTCTGGCCACCTGATGTGAAGAGCTGACTCACTGGAAAAGAGCCTGATGCTGGGAAAGATTGAGGGCAGGAGGAGAAGGGGATGACAGAAGATGAGATGGTTGGATGGCATCACTGACTCAATGGACATGGGTTTGGGTGGACTCCGGGTGTTGGTGATGGACAGGGAGGCCTGGCGTGCTGTGGTTCATGGGGTGGCAAAGAGTTGGACACGATTGAGCAACTGAACTGAACTGAAACCTTAAAAGAGAAAATACTTCTACTTCTGCAAAAAAATACCATGAAGCCTATCATATACAAGTTTATACTTTTTGGTTTCATCGTAGGATCATCCATTTACTTGAACTCATATGCCTAGCACAGAGCCTGGATTAACAAGTACTCAACAAAATCATTAAAGAATGAATAGAACAAAAAAAGGACATTTCAGCATTAAACTTTTTAGTATTAACATTCTGAATTCCTATATATATAATAGTCAATGGTCTCCCTTTATTCATTTCCCATCCACCATCAAATATTTCTATAATCTCCTCTCGACTAAAATCATGAGAGAAGTTTTTCCCTGACACCCTACCTTTTTAAAATATAACTATTTCCTTTCTTAGACATTGCTAAACTCACTGATTAGATACACAAGATTGTTCAAAATGAAAATGAAACTCACTAGTCCATAGTAACCAGCATTTTTTTTCTGAAGCTTTTCTGCAGAAATGCTCACAGGAACATCTGTCAGCCCTTTTAGCACAGTGATCAACATGATAATTCTACCTTCAAGTTCTTTTAAAATTATAGGATGATCTGAGGCACTTATGTACATGAAACCTATGACTTTGGGAACCCCTCTTTTTTTTTCTGTTTACCCCAAGTAAGGCCAGGGTGAACAAGTCACAAACAGATTTAAAGAGGGATAAAAATTCTTCTCAGTTATATACTTACATGACTATGATATCAATTGCATGAAAAAGTGATGTCCCTACAATGTAACTTATTATAAATTCATGAAAAATTACCTTTTTCCTGAGAAAGCTTTTCCTCCTGCCGCTGGTGGTGAGGTTTGTAAGGTGCTGCCCCCTGTGTTAGTTCTTCAGCCACAAAACCATCCAGAAAAGATAAGGAAGCATCTACCTAAGTAAAACAAAAATTAGGAATTAAAACACTTACCCTAAACAGCAGACTGCACACTCATGTAAATAATTTTAGCCCACATTTCCTAAAAATAATTTTTAAGTGAAAAACAGAACTTCAATTCTAAAATTGCTACTCAACTCTCTAGCTTTTTGAAACATCAATAATCAAATCCCTCAGCTCTAAGAATCTAACAATATAAGTCATTTGCACTTATTAATTCACTGCACTACAGAATACATTTTTGAGCATCCAATATGTTAAGGAATCATGTTGGATGCTATGATTCAGAAAAGGGAAGACATAAGACCTGCCCTCATGAGACTTGTAACTTACTAGAGGAGAAGACATATACACTATGAGCTATACTGTCTTCATTAGTTTCCTCCTGAAGTGAAGTGAAGTGAAGTCACTCAGTCGTGTCTGACTCTCTGCGACCCCACAGACTATAGTAGCCCACCAGGCTCCTCCCTCCATGGGATTCTCCAGGCAAGAGTACTGGAGGGGGGTGCCATTTCCTTCTCCAGGGGATCTTCCCAACTCAGGGATCAAACCCGGGTCTCCTGCACTTCAGGCAGACACTTTAACCTCTGATAAACCAGGGAAGCAGGGAAGAAGTTTCCTCCTGCTGGGGGCTAAAAACAAGGTGGTGGCAAAGGCTAGTTCCTTCTAGAGGCTCCAGGAGAGAACAGGTTCCTTGTCTCTTTCTAGAGGCATTCCTCGGCTTGTGGCTATATCATCCAATCTCTGCTTCTATTGTTACTTTGCCTTCTCCTCTCTGACCTCTTGCCTCACTTTTATAAGGACACTTCATGATTATAACATGCCTACTCAGATAATCCACATTAATCTCCCCATTACAAAATTCCTAATCAAACCTACAAAGTCCCTTTTACCACATAAAGTAACATATGCACAGACTCTGGGTTTCTCAGGTGGCACTAGTGCTAAAGAACCCACCTGAGAATGGAGATGTAAGAGACACGGGTTTGATCCCTGGGTCAGGAAGATACCCTGGAGGAGGGCATGGCAACCCAGGCAAGAATTCTTGCCTGGATAATTCCATGGACAGAGGAGCCTGGTGGTCTACAGAACAAGGGGTTGCAGAGTCAGACACAACTGAAATGACTTAGCGCACACACACACATGCACAGGCTACAGGGATTAAGATGTGAATATCTTGGGGAGGGCTGTTATCCAGCCTCCCACACTGATTTCACTATCCTATTCCTTTCTACCTAGAAATGTTTTTTCACAAATCTGTGGAAAATTAACTTAATTTTAACAAAGTACAAGAATAGAAAGGCTAAATGAAAAGAAATAAAGAGATGAAAAAAGAGTAAGAGGAAAAGGAGAAAAGAGAAAATTAAGTGAGAAAGGAAAACAAGATACACAAGAGGATACAGCAATAATGACCTCAGAAACCACAGATCTGCTTCTCCTGATTTAGCTAAGTGTATACAACCAGCCCAGATAATTTAGAATGGCAGGTAATTCTCAAACATTTAATTGGCATCTCACACTCTGAATTTGGAAAGGTTTCATTTTGATAAGATTCTTAAATAGATGAAGCTATGTCATCATCATTATCTTTCATTGGCAGAAAGGGAAGGAGAGTTACTAACTAGTTTAATAGCATATGTATTCATATAGTCTCAGGAATGTTAAACCAAGGCCTCTGCCCATGAGGAGCTAATGAAAAAAATTAATGTACAAAGGTTTAAAATGAATACAAGCCATGAATGTGCTCAGTCACTTCGGTCATGACCGACTCTTTGCGACCCTATTGACTATAGCCAAGTTCCTCTGTCCATGGGATTTTTCAGGCAAGAATACTGGAATGACATTTCCTCCTCCAGGGGATCTCCCCCGGCTAGAGATCAAATCTGCATCTCCATTGGAATCGTAATTAATGGGAATGCCCATCCTCTCCTCTAGAATATGACATCTAACATAAAAATCTGAAAAATCTGACTTCCTCCTCGAAGTGTTCAGATTTACACCAATCTAAGGGGGAACTCGAAGTGAAAAGTAACTAAGTGCTTTGCCTAAAAGGGGCTGGTGCTGAAAACTGGTGGGAGAAGGAAAGGTGAGTGATTAAGTTCCAAAGTAGTAAAGATTTAGATAGTAGATGCATAAAATAAAATGGAGTAATTTTTTTTCTTATATTCTCAAAGAGAATAATAATAAAATGATATATTAGAGAAGTTCGAAAGAGATAAAATTCTGAATTTCTCCAATTATTATATGTTAAAAGAGATTGTCACAGAATATAAACCCCTTCCACAGCAGTTCTCCAGAACAGATTAGTCTTCCTTACTATTTAGGATCACTACTGAACAGAGAAGAAGGGAGCAACAGAGGAAGAGATGGCTGGATGGCATCACTGACTCAATAGACATGAGTTTGAGCAAATTCAGGGAGATAATGAAGGACAAGGAAGCCTGGCGTGCTGCAGTTCATGGGGTCGCAGAGTCAGACACAACTTAGCGACTGAACAACAACAACTGAATAGAAGCTCTCAAATGCTTTCTCACACTAATATGAGAAAAATGCCAATCTCCATCTTAAGAGCTACAGAAATTACATTTTGGTACATTATAGNCAATAGACATGAGTTTGAGCAAATTCAGGGAGATAATGAAGGACAAGGAAGCCTGGCGTGCTGCAGTTCATGGGGTCGCAGAGTCAGACACAACTTAGCGACTGAACAACAACAACTGAATAGAAGCTCTCAAATGCTTTCTCACACTAATATGAGAAAAATGCCAATTTCCATCTTAAGAGCTACAGAAATTACATTTTGGTACATTATAGACATATCACAAAGGCAAGAATTATTCTTTTTAAATACAATGCAACCCTTAAAAAGACAGAATGCAGATGTCTTACCACCATGTCTTCACAACTCTTATCAATTGGAAGTAAGCTCTTCATCAGTTTTACATTCTCATGCAAGTGTTTTAATTCAAATGCATGCTGTCTCAAGCAAGTATCCAAAGATGTGGTAAATTCCTGGATTAATCTCTCAACTATATTAGAAGAGTGTGCTTGGGGTGTCAACTTGGTCACAGCAGCTATTATCCAGGCTTTTGTTTCTGAAGAAATGGAGTCATTCATAAGTAACTTGTAGAGCTTGGTTATAATTTCCTCTGGTGTTTCCTTATTTAAGAGATAGGAATACTCTCCTAACACCTGTAAGTAAAACAAAGAAATGAATATATGCAAACATCAACTTAGATAGCAATTATACTCAGAAATCTAAACAAAGTGTCTGCAGAGTAAATTTACTCTATACTAAGTATATTCTCATGGTAAAAAAATTATTAAAAATAAAACTGCATATTTTAGGTCAAAATTACACCATGAATTGGGGAGGCGGAAATGGCAACCCACTCCAGTATTCTTGCCTGGAAAATTCCATGGACAGAGGAGCCTGGCGAGCTACAGTCCATTGAGTCACAGAGTCAGACACGACTGAGCAACTAAACACCACTACCATGAACTGGAAGTGAATACAAAAAGGACTTCCACATCTTTATCATTAACAATATATAAAGCATCAAGCCAGATATCCTGGAATGTGAAGTCAAGTGGGCCTTAGGAAGCATTACTACGAACAAAGCTAGCAGAGGTGAGGGAGTTCCAGTTGAGCTATTTCAAATCCTGAAAGATGATGCTGTAAAAGTGCTGCACTCAATATGCCAGCAAATTTGGAAAACTCAGCAGTGGTCACAGGACTGGAAAAGGTCAGTTTTCATTCCAATCCCAAAGAAAGGCAATGCCAAAGAATGCTCAAANTACTTTGCCAACAAAGGTCTGTCTAGTCAAGGCTATGGTTTTTTCAGTGGTCATGTATGGTGGTCAGAGTTGGACGGTAAAAAAGCTGAGCGCTGAAGAATTGATGCTTTTAAACTCTGGTGTTGGAGAAGACTCCTGAGAGTCCCTAAGACTGCAAGAAGATCCAACCAGTCCATCCTAAAGGAGATCAGTCCTGGGTGTTCATTGGAAGGACTGATGTTGAAGCTGAAACTCCAATACTTTGGCCACCTGATGCAAAGAGCTGACTCATTGGAAAAGAGCCTGATGCTGGGAAACATTGAGGGCAGGAGGAGAAGGAGATGACAGAGGATGAGATGGTTGGATGGCATCACCAACTCGATGGACATGGGTTTGGGTGGACTCCTGGAGTTGGTGATGGACAGGGAGGCCTGGCGTGCTGTGGTTCATGGGGTCACAAAGAGTCAGACACAACTGAGTGACTGAACTGAACTGAACTGAAAGCATCATATCTTTACAAGTTAGCTTTCTTCTAAACTTCCAGATTTGGATGTTGGTTTTTACAAGCACTTTCACATTCTGTTACTATTTTCCAATAACCATTTAAAGAAGTGGTGACCACACACTAGCATGCATAAAAGCCACCTGAAATGTTTCACAGAAATACAGATTTCTGACTCTACTCCCAGATAATCTGACTTAGTATGTCTGTGGTGGGGATCTACAATACCATCTGATTTTGATACAGATGATCCACACAAGAGACTTTGAGGAACACTGATCTATGTTACACATTCTCTTTTCTACATCTAACTTATTCAGGTCTCAACACCATCACCAAAAGAATTTAATCAACATCTATAGAACATACCACCCAACAATAAGCAGAATACTTTTCGAGCACCCAGAGAACATTTAACAAGACAGACTATATCTTAGGGCCATAAAATAAACCTCAAGAGACTTAAAAGAACTGAAATCATAAGAGTGTTTTCTCTGACAACAAACTAAAAATCAGTAACAGGAAGGACAACAGGAAGTTTTCAAAACACTTAAAGACAAAACAACACCCTATCTTTCCATTAAATAGTGAGAAAAGAACACTCCCAAACAGTCTATGAAGCCAGTACGACCTTGATACTAAAGCCAAATACAGTAGGAAAAAAACAAAATAAAAAAAAGGGGGGGAAAAAAAGAACACTACAGACCACTTTCCCTCATAAACAGAGATGTAAAAATTCTTAACATGGTCTCAAGAAATCTACAAAAAAAAAAAAAAACAATTCTAGATTAGAAAGTGAATTTAACAAGACTGTAGAGTTTAACATCAAAATACAGAAATAAACCACTAATCTATGAAAAAGGAGGCAAGAGTATAGGATAGAGAAAGGAGCAGTCCCTTCAATAAGTGCTGCTGGGAAAACTAGACTGCTACATGTAAAACAATAAGATTACAACATTTCCTCGCATCATATACAAAAATAAACTCAAAATGGATTAATGATCTAATTGTAAGACCTGAATCATACAACTCCTAGAAAAGAACATTCTTTAACATAAATTGTAATAATATTTTCTTGGATCTGTCTATTAGGGCAAAAATAAATAAATGGGACCTAATTAAACTTAAAAGCTTTTGCACTAAAGGAAACCATCAACAAAATGAAACAACAACCTACAGAATGGGAGAGAATATTTGCAAACAATGCAACCAACAAGGACTTAATTTCCAAAATATGCAAACAGTGCATACAACTCAGTATCAACAAAACAACTCAGTGAAAAAATGAGAAGACCTGAATAGATATTTTTCCAAAGAAGACATAAAACTGGCTAACAGGCATAAGAAAAGATGCTCAACATCACTAATTATTAGAGAAAGGCAAATCAAAAACCTCAGCAAGATACCACCTCACACCTGTGAGAATGACTATTCTCAAAAAGCCTACAAATAACAAACGCTAGAGAGAATGTGGAGACAAGGGAACCTTCTTATACGACTGGTGGGAATTTAAATTGGTGAAGCCACTACAGAAAACAGTATGGATGTTCCTTTAAAAACTACAAAAGAGCTGCCACATAATCTAGCAACTTAACTCCTGGGCATATATATCCAGAGGAAACCATAATCTGAAAAGATACATGCGTCCCAATGTTCAACACAGCACTATTTACAGTAGCCAAGATATGGAAGCCACCTAAATGTCCATCAACATACTGAATGGTTAAAGAAGATATGGTATATACACACAATGGAATACTACTCAGCCATAAAAAAGAATGGAATAATGCTATTTGAAGCAACATGGATGGAACTAGAGATTATCATACTAAGTGAAGTAAGTGAGAAAGAAAAAGACAAATACCATAGATATCACTTATACATGGAATCTAAAGTATGACACAAACCAATTTATCTAAGAAACAGACTCACAGATAGAGAAAACAAACTTATGGTTATCAAAGAGGGAAGAGGTTGGGGGAGATATAAATTAGGAATTTGGGATTAGCAGATACAAACTACTATATATAAAATAGATAAATAACAATGTGCTACTGTATAGCACCAGGAACTATATTCAAAATCCTATAATAAATCATAATGGAAAAGAATATGTATGTATAACTGAATCAGTTTGCTGTATGCTAGAAATTAACACACTGTAAATCAACTATATTCAATAAAATAAAATAAAAATAATAATAAAACAAACCAGTGCTTACCAGTGGAATGAGGGAAGGGGGGAGGAGCAAGTTAGGTATAAGGGATTAAAAGATACAAACTACTATGTATAAAATAGATAAGCAACAAGGATGTACTGAACAGTACAGGAAATTAGACCCATAATCTTGTAATAACCTTAACGGAATATAATTTGCAAAAAAAAAAGAATCAACATGCTGTACACCTGAAACTAATATTAATACTGTAAATCAATTAAAAAAAAAAGAATTTGAAGTTTCTCCTAAATTTGTATCACTTTCTCATCAGCATAACCCTAACCTTAACCTAAACTATCTTAAATCAGGGACCATCTGTATCTAAGTATAAATCTAACAAAACAGGTACAGGATTTGTATTCTGTAGAAAAAGAAACACTCTAAATATATGAACATACACAAATGGCTACCAAATACAGCCATCAATTTAGGCAGAGATTATCAATGCTAAAACCATTGATGAAAGACAGCTGAAGAACAGATGTTCACACAGTCTCCAAGAATCACCTCACAGATCAGTTCTAAATTAGTAAGAAGAAATGGCACCTTTACAATGGAGAGAATATGAAGATCACCAGCTTAACCAAAGAAATTAACAATCACCAATAATTGGAGGAACTGATATTATATGCATCCTGATACGATATAGTGGGAAGTACATATTGACAATGTTGTATTCCTGCTAAAAATGTTTACCTCAACCAGACATAGTCCAATTCAGAATGCTGGGCTTTCTACAAGTCAACAGTATTTATACAAAAAAAATAACAATGTCATGAAAACAAAACAAAACAAAAAAAACCTGAGGATCACTGTAAAATAAAGAGGCTAAAAGAAAAACTAAAAGGAATTTGTGAACCTTGACTGGATATGGGGTAAGGAGGAACAGAAAAATTGTCATAAAAGACATTTGTTGGACAACTGGATTAATATAAATATGGACTGTATTTTGGGTGACATTAATGAATTAATGTCATGTTTTTAAGTTGCAATAATGGTTTTATGGTTATTTAGAATGTGACTCTTGGGAGATTCATATTGAATTCTTTTATAGGGGAAGTGTTATGATGTCTTGCAACTCAATTTAAACTGGCTCAACAAAACAAACGCATATACGTAGACCCAGCTATATATATAGATGTAGATAAAGTAAAGCAAAGGTAGTTAAAAACATTCACTGGGAATCTAGATGAACTGTACAGGGGTATTTATTATGCCACTTTTTCATCTTTCTAATAGAAAAGAAAACAATTCTTAAATAAAAATCTGGGTAAAATTTAATTTAACATGCTAACATTTGACAAAACCATAAAATATTAAAGTGTGAATATCCTATGACCCAGAGATGCACTTCTCCAAATCTCCCCCTAGAGAAATGCTCACTCACATGCACAGGAAAGAATATACGAAGGTGACAGGATGTATATGATTATGTAGGTTTATACTCTACAAAACTGTAACCTCACTTTGCAAAGAGATGATCTCCCTTGCAGGCTTCGATGAAGCAAGCCACCATGTTGGGAGGCCCACATGGCAAGATACTGAGGACAACTCTTGGAGCCAAGGGCAGCCAAGGGTCAACAGTCTGAACATCAAACCTTCAGCCTTAGAGCTACAAGAAACTGATTTCTGCCAACAACCACATATGAGCCTGGAAGCAGATCCTTTACTAATCAAGTTTCAGATGAAACAGCAGCCCCAAGGGACACCTAGATTGCAACCCTAAAAAGCCTTAAGCAGAAAACCCAGCTAAGCCATACCTGAACTCCTAACCCACAGAAACTGTGAGATAACAAATGTATGTTGTTTTAAGTTTGTGGTAACATGATTATGCAACAACAGAAAGCTAGCATACCACAGCTTCATCAGTATTCACATATTCATATATAGATTCACAACAAATGCATTAAACACAGACAGGCATCTAAATAAACACCCATATTTAAAAGACTACTCAAGTGAGATGGCAGAGAGAATGAATACACAAGAAAATAGGTAAGTGATAGAAGGTAGCCACTGGGAAAGAAAATCAGCAGCTGAAGGAGTTAACAGATCTGAAATAAATGATTTCTGAAGAAATACATTATTAGTATTTCTCTTTATAAAAAATAATACTATAAACATTTATGAGTCAATGTACTTTGCTTACCCAACTCATAACTTGAAGAAATCTCTGTGGATAGAACACATTTTCCACATCTAATAAAGTAAGATAAGACTGAACTGCATAAAGTCTTAATTGCTGATTTTCTGTTTCATCATCAAAACCTACAAAGGAATTGATATAACATTTTAATTTCCATTAAATTCTCCAAAGACTCTGTAATAAAAACATTTAATTTTAAAATCTTTGCAGAATGCAATAGTTTACTAACCTTCTGCTAGCAGTCTCAGAAAGTTATTGGGAATATCAGGATGCATCACATCTCCTCCCACTGAAAATACAGCATTCATTGTTTGAATAAACCACGCATTATCAGGAGCATATGTGTCCACAGTGTTAAGAACAAGTACATTTCCAAATGTCACTTATTAAAATTACCCTTTCTGAATCAATCTTTAAAAAAATAACCCTCAATTCATCCTAGTTTGGCATTTATAATTATAATTTCTGCCAATAAGTTTTTCTATACCCTGGCTTTGTGTAAAATAGGTGCTCACTAAAGCTTATTTAGTAAACTTAGTGAACCAGTTTATGGTGCTTTATCTAGCACCATATCTTGGACATAATAGGCACTCAATTAAATGTGAAATAACTGAAAGAAATATTCCAGTTGACTGTGGACAAATACATAATGGAAAATTATATGCACTTCAGAGAGGTTAAGTGTTGTGATATGTCTTTCTGAACAATTGTTTACCCTCTTTTCTAATCTGCTCCTCTTCAGTTCTAAAATTCTACCATTCTGCTAGCCAGGGCTATAGCCCTGGCCAGGACAAAACTATACTTAAGCATTCCAAGATAATTTGACTGACATTATTCATTCATTCATTCAATATTAAACAACAAACATCTTAAAAAGAATGTTGAGTGACCTTGGGGGCCTGTAAAGTTTGTCTGACTTTTTAAAAACAAATGTGAAGAAAAGTAACATGTGAATGGAGTTTGTGACCATTCCCAGTATAAATAATCATGTAAAGGCTAAACTTTAGCATACCAATATCCTCACCAATCTCCCCCAAACAATAAGAACTTTTACTCAGGAAAGAAACTGAGTAGGAATTAAAGTCAAAGACAAGGGATAAAAGAAGAACCAGAGAATCCTGTATACTCCTGCTGATAATACTGCCCAGTGGAATAAAAAGAACCAGGAAAAAAGTCATCCCCCAGAAAGTTCACACAACTTTTTGTTTCTGACAATAAGAAAGGCTTGAACGTCAGGAATGGTTATTGCTGGGCCTCTGAGCTTAACCTACAAGTGACTATGTCTATACCAATCATTTTAAAAGTCACTGTGTAACACACTGCTATATTTAAAATGGATAACCAACAAAAAACTATTGTATAGCACATTGAGTATAGCATACTCAATGTTATGTGCCAGCCTTGATGGGACAGGGGTTTGGGGGAGAATGGATACATGTATATATATGACTGAGTCCCTTCACTGTTCACCTGAAACTATCACAACACTGTTAATCAGCTCTACCTCAATACAAAATGGTTTTGGTGACCAAAAAATTCAATTAAAAAAAAGGAAAAACATTTATTTTTTGAAAAATAAATAAAGTCACTGTGTAACTAAAAAGTGTTTTATGACTCATGGCCCAAAAGATATTTCTCAGCCAGCTCAGCTATTTTTCCAACCAAATTGACGATAATATATTCTTCTTTGCTCTGATGTAAATATTCAAGCATTTTCTGGACAATCACTGTTATATTCTGTGCATTAGTAATTCTGTAAAGAAGTTCCAGCGTCTATTCAAGAAAGAAAAACAAAAGCAGTATTATAAAACTATGCATAATAACGCCAATAAATACTGTAAAATAAAGGTTTATACCCCGCTTTGATTCCTGGGTTGGGAAGATCCCCTGGAGAAGGGGTAGGCTACCCACTCCAGTATTCTTGGGCTTCCCTGGTGGTTCAGCTGGTAAACAATCCATCTGCAATACGGAAAACCTGGGTTCGATCCCTGGGTTCGAAAGATCCCCTGGAAAAGAGAAAGGCTACCCACTCCAGTATTCTAGCCTAGAGAATTCTATTGACAGTATTGTCCATAGGGTCGCAAACAGTTGGACACGACTGAGCGACTTTCACTTTCAAAGGTTTAAATAGTTGATTCTTCCACTTTTATGTAGCTCTACTGGGCAGTTAACAGAAATACACATTTTAACCGGAATAGAACTTTAGAAAGGTAAAACCATTGTTAAAAAAAAAGGAATTATAATCAATTCAAAAGTCTAAAACCCTTCAACTGACACAGATAATTATGATCTGACATCTCTACATGACAGGCCATGCAAACACCAGAAAGTTAAAAGGTTTATAATCTATTTTCTAAAAATATAACAGCTTCTTCAGTTCAGTTCACTCAGTCATGTCCGACTCTTTGCAACCCCATGGACTGCAGCGCAGCAGGCCTCCCTGTCCATCACCAACTCCTGAAGTTTACCCAAACTCCTGTCCATTGAGTCAGTGATGTCATCTCATCCTCTGTCATCCCCTTCTCCTCCCGCCTTTAATCATTTCCCAGCATCAGGGTCTTTTCAAATGAGTTAGCTCTTTGTATCCGGTGGCCAAAGTACTGGCGTTTCAGCTTCAACATCAGTCCTTCCAATGAACGCTCAGGATTGATGTCCTTTAGGATGGACTGGTTGGATTGCCTTGCAGTCCAAGGGACTCTCAAGAGTCTTCTCCAACACCACAGTTCAAAAGCATCAATTCTTCGGTGCTCAGCTTTCTTTATAGTCCAAGTCTCACATCCATACATGACTACTGGAAAAACCATAGCNCACCACAGTTCAAAAGCATCAATTCTTCGGTGCTCAGCTTTCTTTATAGTCCAAGTCTCACATCCATACATGACTACTGGAAAAACCATAGCCTTGACTAGACGGACCTTTGTTGGCAGTTATGTCTCTGCTTTTTAATATGCTGTCTAGGTTGGTCATAACTTTCCTTCCAAGGAGTAAGCATCTAAGCCTACATTACACATGCCTGTGTACTATGCATGTGCGTGTGTTTTTGGGTACATACATACACATACAAAAATCCAGTCTTGCAAAATGCTTTTCCATACTTCCTGAACAGAAAAGTGCACTTGAGTGGATCTATCAGCTAAAGGCAAATGGTCTCTCATGGATGGATAAGGTAGTGCAAGCACTTCAAAGAGCAGCAAGGCCTATGTTCAGAATCTCAGGTACCAAGGAAGAACTGCTTTATGGCTTTCTCAGTGCTGAGTAATACACCTCTTGCTGCCTCAAGTAAGATGAAGGAAAACCAGTACCAGAGTAAACTCCCATTTGCCTAGCTTTCTGAGGCCCTACATTAAGGTTCCACAAATATCATAGTTCTCAGAATTCAGTATGAAACAGAGGGCAACAATAAGAAAGCATCCTTTACTAGCATCTCAGAATCAAAAATGTTAGCTGTAAGAGAATTTCTATATACCCTACTTGTTAAATCTGTTCAGATTTCTTTAGGGTTCTTCCTAATTTTTCAATCCTTATACCCAGGACTTCAAGTACAAAGGATAACAGATTTTGAGTTTTTTTTTTTTAACTGCTCCAGTTAATCCTTAACACCATTTAAAATCTATAAATACATAGATCCCCCATCACTAGCTTTCCACTTATAAAGCTGCTTCAGACATCCTTCCTGTAGGCTGTCTAAGTCATGTATTTTAAGATAATCAACACCAAATTTAATTCCTACTCTAAGACTATGAAACTTAGCATTTCCAGGACTGAATGGGGCATGGTATTAGGAATTGCATGGCAGAAGGTCTTTTCTATTAATTCCTTCATGCTTTCTTTTTTCCTGTTATGAAAGAAAGGTAATACAATCAGGTAAAAGAGAATCCCAGACCCAAGCAACAGGTCACTCCACAACTCAGGACCAAAGCTCTTGCCACATAATTACTGACGGAGGTTAGAAATGACAGTGGGATTGAGGAAACAGTACCACAGTGCATTCTTTGGGCACCACTGATACCCAGTTCCTCCCCCAAAGAATTCAAACTACTTTTCTCACTGCAGACCAGACCTGATAATTTTAGAAGTTGTCTGTTTCTCTTTAACTCTCATTTTAAAATTAAATCCAAATAATTAAGCACAGAACTAAGAAAACTGTACCCAAGTCAACCCTGTTCAACATACTACTTAACCACACAAAGAAAAGGCATGCTCTCTATCCGTTCAAAGTAGAAGAGTCATATAAATATTTGTTACTGTCCCTTGGCATCTTTGCATTTTTCTACGATCTCTACACATAGAAATTATCCATAAAATTTCTGGATTCATTCAAGGCAGGTAACAATTTTTTAGAAGATCAAAAATATGAATCCAAACTATATATGCATATATATTGCATATATGTAGATGGCAATTTCTCAGAAACATTATTTCAAAAATAGTACCTTTAGAATTCAACATTCACAATCTTATTTTTGTAAAATTATAATTATTCAATGTAATAATGTTCTTTCAATAAACTTTTAATTCAGTGCTTTTAAATAATGTTTACTAGAATTTATCTTTTTATCTTCATTATTTTTAAAATCAGAAATAAAACAATCACTCTTCTTAATTAGGTCCCAAACCATTTTAAATGAAGGTATAGAATCATGTCTCTACATGAGAATTACCAGATCTAACTAGAACACCCAAGCAGATACTGAAGCAATTTTATAAAAGGAAAAAGTTGAAAAAAATCAAGTAGATTTATACACCTTTCCTTCCAAGAAGTTCAGAACAGTTTAGGGATACCTTTACTAATTCTTTTTATCCTTTTTGGCCATACCATGCAGCATGTAGGATCTTAACTCCCTGAGCAGAGACTGAACCTGTGCCCCGGCAGCAGCAGCATGGGGTCCCAACCACTGAAACACCAGGGCAGTCCCTATCCTTATTAATCCTATCAACATTCTTACAGGTTCAATAAGGAATAAAGTAGCCCATATTATAGATGTTAAGGAAAATAATGAAAAAATTAACTATCATAAATTAAGTCTTAAAAGTATACTAATAGGAAGAACTGAAAATAGAATTCTGGTCTTCTATTGATACAATCATTGGACCAATAAGATATTAAGGAATCCTATACAGGTGTGTGCATGCATGTGTGCTGTCACTTCACTTGTGCCCGACTCTTTGCAACCCTATGGACTGTAGCCCGCCAGACTCCTCTGTCCACGGGATTCTCCAGGTAAGAATACTGGAGTGGGTTGCCGTGTCCTCCTCTGGGGGATCTTCCTGACCCAGGATCAAACTCATGTCTCTTATGTCTCCTGCACTGGCAGGGGGGGTTCTTTACCATTAGCACCACCTAGTTACACCTTCCTCACTTCTCCAACTCACAATTTAAAACCATTCTTATGGTTATTGGTACAAGTACTTTTTAGAAAAGTCCCTTAAACTTCAGTAGAAAAAATAAAATGCATTCGAAAGTTAAAATACACACATGTGCACATGCCCATAATTTTAATTGTTCTCTGTAAAACCAACAAAATGTTTAAAAATTGTTTCACATATACTACTCAAAATACCAGTTTACCTCTCTTTTAATAATGGGATCAGGATGATCTAAGCATTCAATTATTGTCATCTGATGTTGAAGAGCAAGAGTGGGATCCTGTTGGATAACATAAGTAAGAGCCTTCAGTCCTAGAAACAAAGATTAAATAACATAAAGTGACTTAAAACAAATATTCAGCAAATTTCAAAAAGCTCTCTTAGTAATTTCCATCAAAAGAACCAATCATCTTACCTAAATATTTGAGATTTATTTTAGGTGACAGAACAAACTTTCCAATGCATTTGGCAGCCTTCTCAAGCAATTCCGATTTAGGATAAATAGAATACACTGTATGTACACATTCAAACAAAATAGCTAGAAAAATAAAATATTATAACTTCAGAGATCATATTAAGCCATAATAAAGATATATCTGTGTAGAACTCCTAACAAAACAAACTAATCAGAAGGTCAGTTTTAGTCAAAAATCTTATGGAAATTTTTCAAAGATAAGAATTTTACTATTTCCAGGCTTTATACAGTTGTTAGGATTATGTTGCCACAGTACAATTTAGAGAGAACTGTATATATTAAAAGATAAGAATGATATATTCATACACGCAACAAGTATTTTCTGAAACCTTCTATGAGTCAGCCATTGTTCTACTAGTATGAATACAGCAGAGACAAAAACCCTTACCCTCAAGGAACTCACATTCTAATGGGCACGTAAGTAATATATTCACTACTCCTATATAAATAGATACTTCCAACACTCCTTAAATGCTTCAAAATAAGTTATTCTCAGGCAGTTTCTACCACTTTTACACAGAAACTGGATATGTAGTCTATTTCAATGTGGTTTAGTTCAATATAATTATTTTAGAGTGCTCTAGCATTTATTTCAAAATTTTTATACTCAAAACTCAAGTCATTTTTTAAAAATTAACTTAAAAATTAACCTCCAAGGTTATAGAAAATCTACTGAACATCTTGATAGTCTTCAAATTTGATTTTCTAGTCTCATCAAAGATCTGGTAACTATAATAGATGATCAAAATGGACACTAAAATATTTTTCAAACTCTCTTAAAGATCAAGAGTCAAAGAGCTGGAGCTTGGTCATGTAAAGAAGAATCATTTAGGCACCATTCAACAAACATAAGCAGACTTCAAAACATTTCAACTACACAAGAGTTGAGGGCTTCCCTGGTTGCTTAGACAGTAGAGAATCTGCCTGCAATGCAGGAGACCCTGGTTCAATCCCTATGCCGGGAAGATACCCTGGAGAAGGGAATGGCAACCCACTCCAGTATTTTTGCCCTGGAGAATTCATCCCATGGACAGAGGAGCCTGGCAGGCTACAGTCCATTGGGTCGCAAAGAGTCAGACACAACTGAGCAACTAACACACACGGTTGAAGCATATCATATCTTTGAAAGAATCACTCCTGCTCTTTTTCCAAAAGTTTAAAACACAACAATCAAACATTTATTCATATACAAGATATAAAATAGAGCCTGAATATTCAACTAGCTATGTTTTTACACTGCTAAGTTGCCTATCAACTGATACACATAAACATTTTGGGTAAAAACTTTTTAAAAAATAAATATTTTCTAAATAAGGAGAGAGGAGAAATTGGAAATAAGCATTTTTAAGAAATAAACATCTTTTTAAGAAGTGAATTGACTTTAATTAAAGGAAAACCTATAAAGTCAACTGAACCTAAAAAGATGTTTACAGATATTATGCTGTAAAGTCTTTACTCGATGCTATGAAAAAAAGTTGACTTTGGACTTCCCCAGTGGCGCAGTGGTAAAGAATCTGCCTATCAAACCCCTGGCCCAGGAAGACCAAGAACAACTGCAGAACAACTAAGCCCCTGCACCACAACTATTGAGCCTGTGCTCCAGAGCCCAGGACCTGTAACTACTGAGCCCACGTGCCCCAACTACTGAAGCCCACGCACCCTAGAGCCTGTGCTCCCCAACAAGGGAAGCCACCACAATCACCAGCCCTCCCATCGCAACTAAAGAACAGTCCCTCACTCCCAGCAACTAGATAAAAGCCCTCATAGCAATAAAGACCCAGCATAGCCAAAATAATAAATAAAATTCTTTTTTTTAATAGATATGTTTTCAAAGAAAAAAATTTTTTTAAGTTGATTTTATGACTTCATGAAGTAAACAGAGAAATTCTTGGTCAATTAACTAATCAACTAAGGCAGGAGAAGGCAAAATACCATTTAACCCAGCTTTCAGCCTATCTTTGTAAACTGTGAACTAAGGATGATTTTTATATTTTTTGAGATATAACTGATATATAAAAGTATTAGTTTTAGGGGTACAATTACATTTTTAAAGGTTAAAAACAAGGAGAATATATGCAGAAACCTATATGATCTACACAGAACCTAAAAGAACTGCTAGTTTAGGTATAGAATAAAATTAATAGTTCAAAAATTACACTTATTAGTTAACTTGGCATAAATGAACTCAAATAAAAATAAGCTTTTAAATTATTTTAAAATGATTTAGAGGTTAAGGCTGTTTATACTCCAACTCTACGAAAGTCTAAGTCCACAGATAAAAAAGCAGTCACTCCACTGTCTCCTCACTGCAGTGGTTAAAACAAAAGTGCCTCTGAGGACTCCTAAAGGAAAAAATGCAATGTGGAGCTTTGCTTACTCCTCCAGAGCAACCCAGGTCCTAACCAAAATATCATTAAGTAAAAATTACCAAATTAATAATGTTCTAACATTTGTGATACACTGTGGCTTTATCATAGATATTTTCGGTAGGATTATGCAAAAAATTTGAAGAAGTTCTACTGATTACTCTATCCTTCAGACTAGACTTCACTTTCATTTTAAATAAGTTATCTACTACCACCACTCTGGCAAGGAGATGGGGGTACCAGCCAATAAGGGTGGCAGTCCAGTTTCTCCATTCTGCCTCCTTTAACACTTGGAATGGCAGGGGCACCCTGGTACTGCTCCCAATGTGACCTGTACTGGGAACAAGGGGGTGGCTCTACTGTACCTGACCAGTAGTAAAAAGCCCTATCACTCCACCGTTTCCTCTACCACCACCCCAGGAAAGATGGGATGGGTACCTCATTGTTCTCTGTTCCTTGATGATGTAAAACCCAGGCTTCCCACATCATCTCCACTGGCAATGCCAGGGAGGGTCCCTCTTGACACACGGCAGGGATCAAACTACAGCTGCCCTCTTGGTCTTCACCACCAGCTCCATGGGAGGGTTGGGGCACCTCATTACACCTGATGAGGATGGAAATCTTGATTCTTCATTTAGCCTTTGCTGCTCTGGGTAGTCCATAGTTTTTTCTATGTGGTGCTTGACTGCAATAGAAAAACTATTGTCTAAAAGTTTTCCATCTTGCTACTGCTAAGTCTGCTAAGTCACTTCAGTTGTGTCCGACTCTGTGCGACCCCATCCCTGGGATTCCCCAGGCAAGAACACTGGAGTGGGTTGCCATTTCCTTCTCCACTGCATAAAAGTGAAAAGTGAAAGTGAAGTCGCTCAGTCATGTCTGACTCTTCGCGACCCCATGGACTGCAGCCTACCAGGCTCCTCCGTCCATGGCATTTTCCAGGCAAGAATACTGGAGTGGGGTGCCATTGCCTTCTCCGTTCCATCTTGCTAGTCTGCCCTTTTTGCCTGAGTCCTCTGGCTAGAGAGTAGGCTTTTTTCAGAGCATTTTTGTCTGCACCTGTTGGCATTTTCAGACTGCTGGCTCTCCAGTACCCAGTCTGCGGCATACAAGGCAAAAAGAAAACCCAGGGTACTAACCTTGGAGTCATTCCTTACATGCCAATGTCCCTAATCAGTCTACCTTCATTTATCCATGCTTCAGAGTCTCACGTGTTTATGTTACATATAATGTTCAGAGTTTTTAGGTGTACTCAGTGGGTAGAGTGGAGAAGGCAATGGCTCCCCACTCCAGTGTTCTTGCCTGAAGAATCCCAGGAACAGGGGAGCCTGGTGGACTGCCGTCTATGGGGTCGCACAGAGTCGGACACAACTGAAGCAACTTAGCAGCAGCAGCAGTGGGTAGAGTACACCTAAAGTACTTCTATCTACTTTCAATGGTTCTATCCTTTGTATTTCATTTTATATTATCTCCCAGTTTAGTAAATAGTTTACTAAAAATGTCCTCATCTTATCAGTTTCCTCCTCAAAATTATTCCGTATCTCCATATTTACACAGTATAAAATCCAAACTCCTATAGCTGCCATAGAAGGATGTCTGCAATATACCCTTCCCACTGCTCCCCCTATTAACTGTCCAATCAAGCGCCCAAGTCACTGTTTCTGAAACAGTGGGGGGTTTTAAACACCCCCACTTCTGCACCTTCTTTCATGTTCCCGTTGCCTAGAACTGCTTTTAACCTCCTTTCCGGCTATCTCAATCCTGTCTTTCAAGGTCCTATTATAGCAATAAATCTTTAGGTGCCCTGAAGCCCACGGTGATCTTAACCACCTCTGGAATCCTGTACTGTTTACTCCCTTTACCTCCCCCTTTGCATTCTGCCTTATACTGGTATTATGCCTTCTTAAATAAGTTCTCTCCTCCATTACACTGTAAACTCCTTGAAGGCAAAGCTTACATTTTATACTTCCTCATATCCTCTATGTCACTTTACAATGCCTGGCACATAGCAGATTCACTCAATAAATGCCTCTTATATGATTTATTTCTCAATTTGACAGTAAGGTAAGTTATAATAATGAAACTTTAATTTAAATATGGTTTGGAAAGTATTAAGACTGAAACCCAATGAGATAACTGACCAAAAGTAAAATAACTTTTCTCTTCTATTAACTCAATTAAAACATATTACTCACTGATTAACCCAGTGCCAGATACTGGGATATGCTAGCCAATAAGACAGAGACAGACCGGCCCTTAGGAAGTTTATAACTTAATATTCATATGTTTAAGCAATAAGATATTTATATTAAGTTTACTAGAGAATACTCTACCACTGATAAATGTAAGCTATAAACTGTATCAGTACAAATATGGGGGGAAATGCAGAACAAACAGAAGTAAATAAAAGAATAAAGAAAACAACAGAAACTAAGTTTCTCTGGCAAGGTTAAACACTGGACTGACAGACTACAAAGAAACAAATTGTTAGCATTGGTCTCCTCAATCTTAATAAAAGAAGGATGTCCTAATGGAGAACATTAAAAACTATTTCCTCAGGTACACAATATTCTCTAAATCAAAAGGAACAGGTAACAGCAGTTATCTACAGGAGTGGGTGATAAGGGTTGAAGGGACACTTTTGTTCACTCTATACCCTTTCGTACCTTTTGATTTCTGAACCATGTGCATATATTACCTATCCAATAAAATAATTATATCTCAAACAAAACGTTTTAATTTACTTTAGCTGCCTGGAAAAATTGACACTACTTTGGATTATTCCGACAGCTCCTAGCCAAACCACCTGCCTCAATAAGGATCATCTTACCTCTGGTGCCTTATTCTTCTCATTGCATAAGAAGATCCTGTGTGTGTGCTCAGTCGCTGTCATGTCTGATTCTTTGCAACCCTACGGACTGTAGCCAGCCTCTGTCCATGGGATTCTCCAGAATCCAGGAGTGGGTTGCCATGCCCTCCTCCAGGGGATCTTCCCGACCCTAGGATCAAACCTGCAGCCTCCTACATCTCCTACATTGGCAGGCGGGTTCTTTACCACTAGCACCACCTGGTAAGTTCCAGTAAGATCCTAGATGACATCAACTGTTCATTATACTATACACTTAGAAGGGCAGGGCCTGTGTCTACCTTATTTTTCCTTTAATTTCCCACCATTAGCAGGGAGGAACACATAAGTAAATCAACTCTTTCCTCAACTTGTATCTAGTTTAAAAATTAAGCTTTTGTTTTGTAGGAATTCAATAAATACTGGTTGAACAAATGAACACCATGCTTGTTACCTTAACTACCATTTAAACATGCAAAACATAAATCTATCCTTCAAAATTTACTATCCCAATTCACTACCACGTACATTACTTTTTCTATACTAGTCTTACAGATGCAATCCTTTCTTCAATTTTATTGCAGTTAAAACTAGTTCAACTTCTGCCCTCTAGTTTTCTCTACATTTCTACAACCATTATTATTTAAGATTTGCAGTTTATCATTGCCTGAAAGAACAAATACTCCTCTCTATCCCCTATTTCATGGTATTTCACCAGATTAAGAAATGACTTCTCATTTGAGTTACATGTCTCAATACCTCTTCTACTGCTCATCTCCATAGCAGGCAAAATTCAAACTGTTTCACTTCTATCACTTAAATATCTCAAAATATCCCACTTTCTTCAATAAGCTTTCTCAAGCTGATCAATAAAGAACTAAGAGTTCTTCCCTCTGGCTATTAAGACTGGTTACCTTTCTCAGTTCTTCTCCCTCCTCCCCTATTTTACTCTTGTTTCTTATCACTAAAAGACTTTTTAAAATTGTATTTAACATAAACAGCTGCTATCTCTTCATTACAAAGTTCATTATTCCACATCTATATATTCTTATCTATCTCACCTTCAAACTTTAGTTGTCTTAAGTATCACTTTTTCAGAAAAGCCTTCCTCATCCTTCCCCTCATGGAAGAATAGCTGCTATATGCTCCACAGTACCCTGTAATTTGCCTCTATAACATTCATAGTACCTGTCCCTTTCCATCTCTCTAGGTTAGGAGCTCAATGATAACACTGTTTTGTTCACAATTGTATTCCAAGCATCTTGCACAGGGCCTAGTAAATAATAAAACCTCAAATATTTGGTGACTAGATGACTGATTGCTTTATTTGAAAACTCTTTTCTTAAGTATGGAATAGATCTACTGGGTTATCGTCACAGTCAGATGCTGGACTAATGAACATTTTCAATAAATAGACAATTTCTCTTTAAAAATGAAGTCTTTAAAAGAGAGGCAATTATAATAGTTAATTTATGTCAACATTTAAAACAATGCCATAATTTCAAATTATCATTATTAGTTATGTAATACTTCCAATGAAAAATAATAACCCAAAACCACCTTAAAAATTAACATTTAAAATTTACTGGAATTCACAGTATTCTAACACAGATTTAGCTATAATACTGAAAACATTATTAGAGCAGCATTTACACAAATATTACCTACCATATGTGACATTGTGATTTAACTCAGCTCTTCGTAAGGATTCATCAAGAACATCATACATTAATTCACTTGTCCTGTTTAAAAGATATTTTATTTGCAGTAGAATTATAGTATTATAACCCAATAAAACATAGTTTTTCAAACTTCTCTCTCTTTAAAACTGAGGATCTACAGAAAAGAAGTGAAAGAAATTCATTTTATGAAGTTACAGGAATTTCACTTCTTAAATATTCCACTTTCACTTTTTTAAGAGTTTAACCTTCTGCTTTATCAAAGCTGACTAGCCAATGAGGAAAGTCAATCAGCTCTTTCTTCAATCTGTACCTACTTTAAATACGGGTTTTCATTTGATTGAACACTCTATCTTTTATCATTTTCTTTGTAATATATTTCTTTGTAATATATTTAAAGTTACTATAGTAATACTCCACATATCCAGATTATTCCAGACAGTATATTATATGCATTTTAAATACTTTGTTTTTTTAAAAAATATTCAAGTATCAGTCTTTCTTTGAGCAGCAGTAGGTTCTTCAGAAAGAAAATTTTAACTTTCATTTATGTTAAATATAAAGAAATTATATTTTTATGAAATTAACAAATTAATACCATTCTATGTCTCTATGGTCACAGATTACAATTACAGTAACTGAGTTGAGGTAGAAACTATACAAAAATGCGGTGCATTATAGACCCCTAGCACTCTGCCACTACACCTTTTCTCCAGGGAAAAGTCCTCTCTAAAAGGCCAATGGTGAAAAATATGGCTTCTCAGCTGATATTTTTGTATGTTTTATAAAATCAAAAAGCACTACTAGAAAAAAAGCACCATCAACAAAGAAATACACAGTAGTTTCTTGTAGAAAAACTATACTACAAAACAAAAAGATCAAAATAATCTTGGGCTATACAAATTATCTATCATGTATGTTACAAGTTTCCAAGAAAATATCTTCTTTTTTAAAAAAATATACAGCTATAAAACTCAATTTGAAGTGCATGTACTTTTATTGCACCTTAACTGAAGTATACATATCAACTGAGAATTCAGAACCATATTTTAAAATCCCTCATTTTATTATGTAAGCATTTCTTCCACAGACAACAATCATATAGTAGACATTACAAATATTCCCCCGCCCCCGAAAAAATCTGGTAATACTACACTTAAGATTACAGTATAATTTCCCAATTTTAAAAGCCAATGTAGGAGTTATAATTAACCACACAAAATGTGGAAACATTTGCAGACATGATGGAGCTAAATGTCAATAACCTAAGAAGCAGGTTGTGCTATAAAACACAAGAAAATATTCAAATAGATATAAAAGACCATAAATGTAAGACTTTTCCAGTAAATTAATACTTAAAATTAAATATATTAGAATCCTGTTATAAAATAACATTTTTACTTTGCCACATTGAGTATACCATGTCTTAAGAAATACATGTTAACATAAAATCTCATTAGAGTTGGGACAAAAAAGGAGAAAACATTCTAATGTCCATAACACTGTAAAAGAGATATATTCTTTACTCAATTAAGTCTAATTTCTATTCAACTGAGCTCTCTGAACTCTGTAAACATTCATTTTTGTATGTATTCTCCAAATTCATCCTTGAAGGAAAGGAGGACAATAATGAGTTAACTAATTTAGTAAATTCACTAATGACTACAAAGTAACTTTCTGACAACATATGATGGCATTAAATCTTTCTGGACCAATGAGATCTGAATGCATTACTATGAAACGAATGGTTTTAAAACAATTCTAGTGAGCTTCAACTAGAGCTCCACAATGGACAAACATTTCTAATGTGTGTGTCTGCTCCATCAACTCCAGGTTTTCACCCCAGGGTTCAATCAAGGTTGAGATTCATAAAGATAGAAAAAAGGAAAATAGCAATACTAAGAGTGATACAGCCCAGCTGGTGTTCATTAGGAGCTCACCAAAGATGGATTCTGACTTGAAGCTGAGAGGGCTTTACTAGGAGCACTAGCCTGGAGGACAATCTGGTAGTATGGCAAAACTAAAGAATTAGCAAAATACATGTACCTTACTGTATAAAACAAAACCGTATCTCTAAAGTCAGAATCTGATTAATAATATGTTCTCAAGATAGAAACACATCAGGGACTTCAGCCAATGGTCCATGCTCTTGAAGGAAATAAATTGAGTTGCTTTCGAACAGCTCAGAAAAAAATTTTAAATAAAAATAATGTGTGCACACAGGCACATACAGGAAAAGAGAGAAAGAATGAATAAAGCAAATATCAATAACTGATGAATCTAGGTAGAGAGCTCCCTGTATTCTTGGAAATTTTCTGTAAGTTTAAAAACTACAGCAAAATTAAAAGTCACAAAACATATATGTAACTGGAAAGACATGCATAAAAAGTTTCATAAAATTACTGCCTAAAAGAGTAATTCAGACAAAATTAATTGTTCCACTATAGCAATAGTGTCAGCAAACTATAGTTTGCATGCCTAATCTGGCCAGATGTCTGTTAGACTTTATATTGGCTATAGGCTAAAATGGTTTTTACATTTTTAAATGGTTGAAAAAAAATCAAAAGAATAAAATTTCATGACACATAAAGTTTATATGAAATTCAAGTTTAACATCCATAAAGTTTTTTGGAACTGAGCTGTGCTCATTCATTTGCATACTATCTATGGCTGCTTTTGAGCAGAGTTAACACGTTGCAATAGACAACACAGAGCCCACAAAGCCTAAAATATTTATAATCTTGCTTTTTATAAAAAAGCTTCCCAACTCCCAAACTAGAATGATTCAGAAAGTTTCACAGAAGATATGGAGCTCCAAAGGTAACTTTTTCTGTGAGTGGACTTAGATAAGCAGAAAGCCAGGATTATTATCTCAACAAGCTGAATTTATACACTTCTTAGTGTGGCTTACTTATCACTACTAAGTCAACTAAGCACTGGGAGAATCTGGTTTATCATGAACCTCTACATGCCTAAAGCCTAAGACTATTAAATTTACTTAGAAGAGTTTACCTTTGATCATCTTTTCCTAGAAGTCCTAGTATTCTCAACAACTGAATTTGTAACCATGGTGCTGGTACACTGTGGTAATTGAAATCTACTGGGAGCTTTCCTCCAACCACTTGCTTCAAAATCGTTACAAAACTCCCAGTCAAGTCTTTATATGCAGATGAATTCTCCTATATCCAAAAAATAAAACAAAAAAACTTTGTTAGTAACAATATCTTAAAAATAAAACAGATCTGCTTGAAATGTTATGCAGAATCTAACTTAGTATATGCTCATTTAGAAGTCTCATGTTCACTTTTAATGAAACAGTCCTCTGATTTGTGTAATTTCTCCCACAATGAAACTCATCTGGTGACCAGATTCAGAAGTGAATCATGCCCCTAAAAGCTTCCACCATTCCCTACTTGCCCCCACACACCAGTTTAATTACCTTTCCAAAGTTTGATAATTACATCTTAGAACTTTTAATAGCTAGTATCAGCAATTAAAAATTGAAAAGAACTGGCATACTGAAAAAAGCAGTAATCTCTCTACTTTAGATGAAAATCAAGGCCTGTTTGCAATCTCTGAATTTTGTTTGCAAAAGACTTCCCATGTAATTGAACTAAATTATGTTCTGGGTGGAAGAGCACAACCAACATTACTCAAACATTCAAAGCTCCCCAAATCAGCAAGCCTGCTTATTAAAAATTAATTAACTCTATAGTATTTAAACATATTTGTGATTCTGAATGAGTGTGCCTTGATTATCTATCAGACTACTCTCTCAGACTTAGGAAATTTTTTCATCTTATATTCTTTAATGAAGTATAGTTGACTTACAATATTATATTAGTTTCAGGTGTACAACATAGATTCAACATTATATACATTACAAATTGATCACAACTATAGGTCTAGTAACCATCTACCTGAATTAGGGAAATTAAATACATATTCCTCAAAATGAATGTTAGACTCTTCACTGTAATTTTTATATGTATCAAGGACAAATTTTTGGAAGGGAAATAAAAGCTCTCTCAGAGTTTAATAAATGTTAGAGGAAAATAAGATTTAATATCAATTATCTATTTATACCATACTACTTTGGAACATGTAATGCATAAAAGTAAACACAACTTTCAGTTTGCATAATTTTAAATTTATTTCAATAGCATTATGAGGTATGATGAAATCTCTCACAAATATATACTTTCAGACACAAAAGGTTTGAAGCAATACACTGGGGCTGAATTAGTATAAGCTCATATCACCATTTAGAAAAAAAATTTTTACTATAACATTTAATCCTCCTTCCTCCTCTAACACAGAACCAATGTATGGAATCAACACAACAGACCAGAGGGTCCCCAACTCTGAGACCTAATGCCTGATGAGCTGAGGTGGAGCTGATGTAATAATAATAGGAATAAAGAGCAAAATAAACATAATGTGCTTGACTCATCCCCAAAATCATCCTCCCCAAAATCATCCTCCCCCTCCCCAACCCATGCAAAAATTGTCTTCCACGAAGCTGGTCTCTGGTGCCAAAACAATTAGGGACCGCTTCTGCAGACTATGCCTTACACATTCCCCACCAGCTCTCCTCATTTTTATAAGCTGTTGTAAGTATCCCATGAAGCTGTATAAAAAGGAGTCACTTCTTGAAAATCCACAAATCTGTAAATTTCAACCATCTTCCAGAGCTACCATTTTTCCGTGCTTCTTTCATAACATGAAAAAATTTCAGGCATTTAAAAAAGAAGACTAAATCTACAATGTGTCTGCAACTCATGCTATTAACAACATGCAAAAATTACTATTAAAGGGTCAATAATACAAACTTAAATGTGGCTTATGCATTTTACTGAAAAATATGAGTTTTCTTTTAATTACATAATTATATTTTTCTAAAGATAGCTACTCAGTAACTTCACAAAATGTCAACTTACCTTAATCATCCTAAAGTATATGTGCAAGGAAGCAGCCATGACTCCAACATCTCTGTCACAAAGTGCTTTTCGAAACTTAACATGGATATGCTGTACTTGATTAGGAGCAATGAGATAAAATTTATATAATGCCAGAACGGCTTTTCTTCGTATAATCTCCCTAAAGATAAAAAATAAAATCTAAATAAACCACCTGGAAATACCAGGCATTTAGGCTGAAAAGATTACGGACCAGATGATTTCAAAATACCAGCTATTACTTTAGTCTAAAAAAAGAGAGAGAATTACCCATTTATTATTAATTTTTATTCTAATTTACCAAACTATAAAATAGTGGTTATCTCTAGGAGGTAAGTAAGACCTCAAGAGACTTTAAGTCTCCATGTTATATAGTTCTTTAGTTACAACATTCTTTGACAACAAGCATATATTACTTTTGAAACCAAAACAAAGCAAGAAAGATAAACAATTTCTTAATTCCCAATTTCCATTTCTGAAAGCCATATCTCCAAAGATTGAGAAGAGAATAAATAGTAAGTTTAAGTGAGTAAGAGGTAATTTCAGCTAGTAATATTAAACAGTCTCTTCATTAACATTAAAGTCTCCTTAACATTCTAGCTTTTTATATTTCTTTTTTTATATCACAGGTAAACATACTCCAAATACTTAAGTGGGGCAGGGGAGAGTATAAGGGGGACTTACATTAAAAGATGTTACTCCTCTCCTTGCCCAGCTCATGTTTCAAAAACCTCATTACAATGAGGAGGAAAGTATATACAAGTCGTGCACTTCATTTGTAACAGATAATGTCTAGCACACAAGAAGCAAAAATAAAAGAGTTGCTATCCTGTGAACACAATGTCATTTTCAAGGAATTATATTCTTGTTTTTCTCTCTCATGCCTGTTTCCACATGGCTCATATCTGCAGATTATGCTGGCAGTGCTCACAACAGCAGTAGTGAAGTATTTACTTTTAGGATTCCTTAAGACATATTTCTGTTACCTTAAATCTTAGAATCTCAAAATTGAGATTATTCAATGTAGTCCTGTGTTCCATTCAAGAATACCTTTTATAATATTCCTAACAAATGGCCATCCAGCTTCTGCATTAACAAGCAACCCACTATCTTCCTGGGTAAACTATGTCATGATGGAAAATCCTTTTCACATAAAAAGAAAGCAGATTAACAACAGATTTGCCACTAGTAGTAATACTATGGTAACTGGAATCTACATCCCAATGTGTTGCTATTGGGTATTAACCAACATGAGTTCCAGGACACAGTAAATAAATGAGGTGAGGAAAAAGAATACAAACCCTCATCAGGCTCAGGAATCCCTTGGTCTGGCCCAAAATGGTGGCAATAACGCAAAGTATCAAAAAACCTGGATTTGGGCTATAGATCTGGCATGCGAAAATATAACCAAGGATTCAAAAGCCAAGTCCAAGCCCTGTCTCACTGCTTCGCTGTGACATCTACTGGCCTATCTGTAGCTGTAGCCCACAACTCTGTCTTTAGCTCTTTACTCCACAGCAAGGAAGTAGATATGGCCATAACTGCAAAAGCAGAGTTTCAGAAAGTCTAAATTCTAACTAGTAGAAGACAGGAAAGGCCAGGATTTGAAATGAGAGTAGATGGGAAGCAACATGGAAAAAATTGAACGGGTAAATGGAAAGCAACAAGGAAAAAATCCAAATCTTTCTCAGAAAGATTTCATACAAAGGGTAAGTATGGCTACCACAAAACAGTGGTAGTATGGAAAAATTTCATAAAAATATGCTCAGCTATGATCAGATCAACTTCTAAATAAAGAAAGGCTAATGTTTTATTTCCAGTAGTTAACTGTCCATGCTCATCATTTGTTCTAAACACTGATTCAACATAAACAAAACAAGTCTGAAAAATCTATAAAGTTATTCCATAATTCTCAGTAAAAGCTAACATTTTTAGCTGGAAGATTCATGGTCCAAGATTTCTTAAAGAACACAAACCATAAGACAACATTTTATAATCTTAGAACACTAAAAATATTGACTTAAAAAAGCATAAAGAGATATTATACGGGTAATAAAAAAAATCTTTAACAAAAATCTGTATGCAATAAAGTACTGCAATCACAAAGGAAAAATGGCTAGTGACTAAACATTTTCCTAGCTATAAAGGTTATGAAATCAAGGGGCTTGAGCAAAAACAAATTAATTCCAAACTTGGAAAAAATCCTAATCAAGTTAATAAGGAGAGAGTTAAGGAATCATTCAAAATTAGCAAAATACTACAAGTTAAGGTTTATTTGTACATATCCTGCTATAAAATAGAATTTGAAAGCTGCAGTTTTTGTATAAAAGCATTTCCAGTACACTGAAGCTATGTATTCATGGCATCTGAACCACTTCCAAATGTTTTCCATTATTTCACTTTATAAAACAACTCTGTGAGAACGAAGGAGCTTCAATCAACCCCATATAGCCAAGGAAAAAACAGGACCACTGATAGTTAGCAGCAGAAGTGGAAAGAGAGCCAAGGATTCCTGATGGTAAGCCTCACTGTCTCAGTTTAACTTTAGAAAGCTGCCTAACATTTTTCTAAACCCACATAAAAATAAAGGACAGTGCTACTGGGAACTTTTGTATTATACCTGGCAGTCAAAGAATATCCTCTATCCTGGTAGCATTAAAGTTAGAAAAAAATTTTTAGTATAAGTTTTTCTTTTGAAATACACACCTATCCAAAAAAGAATTTACTTACTTAGAATGCTGAAGTTTATCTTCTATCAATGGAAGAACAGCTGGAATCATTTCTCGAGGGAAAATCTGGCTGACGACAGTAAGTGCCATACATACTTCTACTAGGTTAGTGCTCTGCAAGTCCTGACATAATTATTAAGCAAAGAAAACATTCAGTGCAAATTCTGAAACTAGGGACAGTGAGCTCAACATTGCAATGGTCCTATACACTTAATACTGTAGTTTTCAACTTATTTGTCCATTTAGGAATACCTCATATTTTATAGGAGTATCAGTGTTTCACTTGCCTTAATAAAATCAATAGATAAAAACAGCCCAAAAGTAACTGATCTAAAGGAAACTGTATTTCTGTTCTGACACTGACCAAAGTAGTCTTTTTTATTACAGCCTTTAAAACTTTTCTAAACCAGTAACAAAAAAAATTTATGAATTTTTATTTGTTAAAGCAATAATATGAGTGGAAGTTTAAAAGGAAGCAATTTTTAAATACATACTATAAAATGCATGCATTTATATATACTTATATAAGCACAAAGTTTATAAACTATTTTAATAGAAACTGAAACTACATTTTTGAAAGTTTGGAAAAGTTTAAAGCTACTAGTAACCTTAAGAGAGTATATGACTTAAAATTCAGAAAGCACCACACACACACACTCTCTCTCTCTCTCTCTCTCTCTCTCTCTCTCACACCCATACCAGAACAAGATAAACATGAAAAAGTTCAATTCAATTATACTTCATTACCAATTTTGTCTAAAAGTTTAACAGAAAAAAATACTGCATGTGGATTAAATTGTGTTTTTATTATAATTTCAGTTACCCAATTATACTCTATTCTCCATTAAATTGACTTTTAGTTTAAAAGACTTCAATTATTCAGTTTATATCATATCCCTTTAACATAAATCCTAGAGAAAAAGACAACAGCATGGAAAATGCACCCAACTAAGAGTCTGGAGATCTGAATCATAGTTCCAGCTCTGCTTTTTTTATTTTTATTTATTCTTTTACTGAAGTATAGCTGATTTGCAATATAGTATCAGTTTCAGGTGTACAGCATAGTGATTTAGAAAATTTTTGCAGATTATACTCCATTGTAGGCTATTATATGATAAATGGGTATAATTAATTCCCTGTGCTATCCTCATTCCTTACCTATTTTATATACAGTAATTTGTTATCTATTAATACCATACTCCTAAGTTGTTCCTCCCATGTCTCCCTATGGTAACCCCAAGTTCATTTTCTGTCTGTGAGTCTGTTTCTATTTTGCATATACAGTCACTTGTATTATTTTTTAGACTATACATATAAGTGATATCATACTGTATTTGTCTTTCTCTGTGTGACTTATTTCACTAAGCATAGTATTCTCTAGGTTCATCCACATTGCTACAAATGGCAGTATTTCACTGTTTTCAATGCCTGAATAATACCCTATTACGTACATATGCCAAGTTTTTTTAATCCAACTGTCTGTTGACAGGCACTTGGGTTGTTTCCATGTCTTGGCTGCTATAAACAGTCCTATGCACACTGAGGTTATGTACCTTTTTAAGTTAGTGTCTTCGTTTTGTCCAGAAAGAAACCCAGGAGTGAAACAGCCCAATCATATGGTAGTTCTTTTTTAGTCTTTTAAGGAATCTCCATACTGTTTCCCATAGTGGCTGCCCAATTTACATTCCCACCAAGCATGTTTAAGGGTTCCCTTTTCTCCACATCCTTGCCAACATTTATTTTTCACAAACAATAGCCATTCACAAACAGTAGCCATTCTCAATGAGGTGATACATCACTGTGGTTTTGATTTTATTTCTCTAATAATTAGTGACGTTGAGCATCTTTTCATTGCCTGTTAGCCATCTACATGTCTTCTTTGGAAAAATGTCTATTCAAGTCTTCTGCTCATTTTGTGATTGCATTGTTTACTTTTTTTATATTGAGTTGTATGAGTGTTTGTGTATTTTGAATATCAAGCCCTGTCAGTCCCATCATTTGCAAATATTTTCTCCCATTTCGTAGGTTGTCTTTTCATTTTATCAGTTATTTCCTTTGCTGTGCAAAAGCTTTTAAGTTTAATTAGGTCCCATTTGTTTATTTTTTGCTTTCTATTTATTCTGCCTTAGGAGACTGATCCAAGAAAATGTTGCTACAATTTATGTCAAAGAGTATTGCACCTATGCTCTCTTCTAGGAGTTTTATAGTTTCAGGTCTTACATGTAGATCTTTAGACCATTTTGAGTTTATTTTCCTTAACTCTGCTTTTTTAAATGAAACCATTATAACAGCAGCAGTAGCAAATGTTGTTCTGTAGAGTGTTTCATTCAACCCTCACAACTTGGTTAAGTTCTATTATTATCCTCATTTTACAGATGCAGAAAATGATCTAAAAGATCTTTCCAATAAACTCATTCTGCAAGCCTACATTCTTTCAAAAATATAAAAACTGTCAAATGCCTGAAGGAATAATTTAAGACTTTATATTAACCAGCATACAATACAGTACCTTTACAACTGTATTCACAAGGAGAAGCAATAGTTCATGACTTTCATGTAGAAATAAAGATACAGCCAAATAACCTTAAAATTTGAGAGAAAAAGTCTCATTACCACCTGTCAAAAATTAACTCTTCTTAAGAAGTTAAACAAAGCAATAATATATTCCAATGTTTTAATGTCAAAGACAGCAGTTACAGGTAAATATAAAAACAAATAGTAAAATAAGAAGGTTCAAAAAATTCAGTAAGGAAGATTTCAGGTGTTCTTCATCCTGAAGTCTTTCGTAATTAGGTATTTCACAGGATATAACTAAAATGGAAAAAAGGCTATGTGTACCAGCTTAAAGTCCTGTAAATGACATTAGGAATATATACCTTCTATCTTCTGTGCAAATTTCTACACAATCAAAACATTTTGTCTTGTAGCCAAATAAAATTGTGCAAAAACTAACAGCTGTTATAGTCAATAAATAGTGAGTTACCAGCTATTTGTATTACTGAATGAGCTATTTAATACCAAACCATATGACATAAATCATACAGTAAGCCATAAAAAATACCTGGTTTTCTCAATTTGAAGATGAACTATTGAGTGAATAGATGTTAAGGAAAAAAACACTGTCTACCACATTAAATATACCCGTTGACTTAAGCACTTTTAACAATATCAAAACATAAAAAAGTACATCTTAAAATTGAGGAAGTACTTTAATACCATGACAAATACCATGTGTATGGAATCTAAGTGCCCCATTTCATTTTCCTGTCACCCTTCATATTGATAACATTTGTTAGACAGTTACCATGGGTCAAATACATTACAAGCCTATTGAATCTTTACAATAGCTCTATGAGGTAGGTATTATTATTATCCCCAGTATAAAAATGAGGCCCCAAAAGGATAACTGCCCAAGGTCTGCAGCTACTACTTGGTGGAGCCAGGACTACAACCAAGCCAGGAGGAGTCAGTTCACGTTTTTAATCCTTATGCTATTCTGTTTCTTCAGTCTCCCTTGAGACCCGATTCCTTGTTTCCCATCCCGGTTGTTTTTCATTCTTTTCAATTCTTCCAGCCCTTTTATTGGGGATTCTAAAGTTAACTATCCCTATCACTACCCAGCATTCATACTGTCTGTGCCTGTTGTGGTAAGTGGGGAAACTGTCAGAAATTTCCTATTCTCATAACCAAGCATCTTCACTGAAGGTCAGAGGAGCAGAGCTATCACTCCCATAATCAGGACAGAGAAAAAAGAACAAACCAGGACCAGGGAAGAGAAAAATCCTAGACAGCATTTAAGTCAGAGATTACAGGAGGGGGGAACACATGTATACCTGTGGCCAATTCATGTTGCTGTATGGCAGAAACCATCACAATACTGTAAAGTAATTATTCAATTAAAATAAATAAAATTTTAAAAATAAAGCAGAGATTACATCTTATCAGACTACATACATCTGTTCAGCAAAGATATTATCCACAGTTAAGTCACTAGTACCACAATGCAAGAAGATCAACAAACTAATCCAAAGACTACCGTGAAACCTTACAAAAAATCTTAAATCTATCTGTGTCAAAGAATGTCCTATTTTGACAACCAGAGAAAACAGGGCAACTATTTTGATAATCCAGAAACAGGGGGAAAAAATATTCTGTGACTCAAAAAATGAAAAAGCCTTCAGGAAAACATGACTTCCCTGGTGGCTCAGACGGTAAAGCGTCTGTCTACAATTCAGGAGGCCCGGGTTCGATCCTTGGGTCGGTAAGATCCCCTGGAGAAGGCAATGGCACCCCACTCCACTACTCTTGCCTGGAAAATTCCATAGACTGAGGAGCCTGGTAAGCTGCAGTCCACGGGGTCGTGAAGAGCTGGATACGACTGAGCGACTTCACTTTCACTTTTCACTTTCCTGCATTGGAGAAGGAAATGGCAACCCACTCCAGTGTTCTTGCCTGGAGAATCCCAGGGACGGGGGAGCCTGGTGGGCTGCCATCTATGGGGTCGCACAGAGTCGGACAGGACTGAAGCGACTTAGCAGCAGCAGCAGCAGCAGCATAGGATAAGAATACAGGCTTGGATTCATAGAAACTTAGGTTCATATTTTGGCTCCACCATTTAGTAAGCTCTATGACCTTGGACAACTGACTTGACCTTTCTGAGCTTCAGTTTTCTCCTCTGTAAAATGAAATACCATCTCACAAGATAAAGCACCTAACATAATACCTGACTTAGTGGATACTGAGATTTATTTATTCAACAATATTCATGTGAAAAACAATAAGACATTATCTTTCAGACAAAGCACCAAAGTTAGCCATAGAACTCTCAGGAGAGTAGATGATGCAGAAGTACTAATATGAAGATATAAAAGATTTAAATGCTACCTTACAAAACAAGGGCTTCCCTTGTGGCTCAGCTGGTAAAGAATCTGCCTGCAATGCAGGAGACCTGGGTTTGATCCCTGGGCTGGAAAGATCCCTTGAGGAAGGGAAACGCTAGCCACTCTAGTATTCTGGTCTGGAGAATTCCACGGACTGTATAGTCCATGGGGTTACAAAGAGTTGGACACGGCTGAGCGACTTTCATATCACACATCACATTAAAAAACAAAACTTCCAGTCATTAGCACACAAAAAGAACATCTGATACCCACAAACATGTCTCTCTGGGTGGCAAGAAAATACTTTCCTAAGAAAGACCATGAATCTCAATGAGTCTGGGGTCTCCTTAGCCACTTTATCTATGAAATAACACATGTATAAGGTCATTCACTGCAACATTGGTTATGAGAGCAAAAAAACAAAAGACAACTCATACATCCACCAATAGAGACCTGACTGAAAATACTGTGGTATATCCACCCACCCAGTGAAAACTATGCAACTGTATAAAAATATAAAGATATCAAAACAAGGTATAGAATAATCTCTACAGCAAGCCATTTTTTTGTTGTTGTTAAGAGAGAGTATATAAATGTGTACTTGTTTGCTTATTTTCAAAAAGAAGCAATGGAAAGATTAATCAGAAACTAGTGAAAATAGTTACTCATGGGTAAGGGGCAAACCTCATAGAGGAGCTAGAAATAAAAGTAAAAATTTGACAAACCAGAAATTTGTCTGATTATACCTTTTTATCAGGTCTTAACTTTGGATCATGTAACACAAGTAATTTTTACATATTTTAAAAATAAAACTTAGAGAATTCCCTAGTGGTCCAGTGGTTAGGACTCGGTGCTTTCACTGCTGATCTGGATTCAAACTGGTCAAAAGAACTAAGATCCCACAAGGTTCACAGCAGTCATAAGTAAATAAATTTTAAAAATGTAATTGAAAATGAAAAAATTACATGAAAGTCTAAAAAGAAAAAGTCAGCAACAGATGTACAAAGTATTGACTACCTATTGTTTTCAAAACTTCCTGCTGTCAGAGATTTTAGAATTAGGTTGGAAAAGACAAATAGATGGCAGGAGCCACCTCAGTGATCACAGAAGAGTTAAAACTTGGTTTGAAATACAGAAAGGGAGAGATAGGCTGCCAGAGGACACTGTACTTGGAGGGAAGAATATAATGAAAGACAGAAGAGTATTTTTGGTGAAGTGAGGTTCAACAAGTAGAATACTGTGTGAGCACAGTCTCAGAATCTTTACCAAGACATCTCCCACACTTTCCCCATCATCTGACAGCACAGGTCAACATAGCATATAACATAAGAAGAATGTTGGTCTCCGACAACATAACAGTATCAACTTCTTTAAATAAAGAATATGTTCTACTCCTATGTTATTCTAAAGTACTTCCTCCTTAAGCTTCTGATATGAAGCTGAAGCTATAAGAAAACAAGGTTTAAGTTTTTGAAAGGAGTTTTACTAATAGCCTTGAAGGCTGATTATAGAGATAACAATTTTTAAAAGATACCTGAAATCCTTACAGCTAACATTTGTGAAACTAGAGCAAGATATCTAAAATTATTCACGGAAATTTCAGTCTTATTCTATTAAAAAACCATATCTGATTACTAAACTGCCGAAATTGAATAGACTTTTTAAAATCAGCTTTACTGAAGTATAATTTACATACAAGAAAAGTCATCTTTTTAAGGGTATACTTCAGTGAGTCTTGACAAAGTCATCTAACCACCATCATAAGAACAAGCAACTTTTAATCTTCTATGTAACTCCAAAATGCTATGAATCAGGAAAATTGATTTCATTTATAGGCTGTAAGTTTTTGAAATGTTATCTTTTAAAGGTAAGGAAATCACAAGGCAGTGTTCTAAAAACATACTACATATCAGTCATCATTCATTTTATATAATAGCCAGAACTTTAAGGACAAGATAAAGTGCAAAAGTCTTAAACCCATACATACCTACTCTTTTTTCTAAAAGATTTCCTTGTTGTGCCAACTTGATTGCATGTATATAGCCAAAGGAAGCATCATATCCAAGCATTTCACAATATATAAGTCTCACCATACATTCCTTCATCATTTTCTGGAAAAAAAAAATCCAGTAATCATATAAATAAATAGAATGCTTTGATTCTTTCTTTAGTATGTTGTAATCATTTAACAGTAGAATTCTTTAATCCTGGCACTGAAGAAACAACATATGTAAATTATCACCCAAAGTCAGACTTTGTAAACAGTTTCTCCCAAATTTAACTATCAACAGTACTCATTTTAGTAAAATTATTTCAATATTTTGTTAGAGGCAACAATATAAAATAAATCAACTATAGCCATTTCTAATTCTAGGTCACTCTCCTGAAAAATTTGGTTATAATGTGAGACGCATGGTCCTTAGAAAAAATTTCACTCACAGGACTCTAACTTGGTTTCTAGAATGCAGCACATCATTAAATATACTTTGTCAAATGAAAATATCCATGAAACCCCCACAGGTTGGTAACAATTTCTGTAATGAAAGTATTTTTCACATTTAAAGACCAAATTGCATCTGGGGTTTCTTCAGAATTATTATGCTGTATATGACACGCAATGATTTACTGTATTACTTTTTCAACAACTCCCACAATTATGATGACTTTATTAATGGTATGTGTATCTGTTGTTGCTCAGTTGTGTCCAACTCTGCAACCCCACAGACTGTAGCCCACCAGGATCCTCTGTCCACAAAATTCTCCGGGCAAGAATACTGGAATGGGTTGCTTGTCCCTTCTCCAGGGGATCTTCCCCACCAAGGGATTGAATCCAGGTCTCCTGCATTGCAGGCAGATTCTTTACCGTCGGAGCCACCCAGGGAAGCCCTATTAATGGTAGAGTCATTCCAATATTAAACTTAACTGAGTCTTTCAATATTTACAACATAAGCAAATAACTTGTTTTAAGAGATTCTATAAATTTATTTTATTAGTATGAGAATATCTGCATTCTCAATATTGACAGCAAATTTTAATCAAAAATTAAAAATATAAATAAATGTGTTTCAAAATGTAAAGCTCAGACTATTTTACTATCTAAAAATTAATTAGGGTAATAAATAAATCCTAATACATAACAGAATTATAGAATTCCTAAATCACAAAATGCTTAAGAAGAAATAGTAAAATAAAATGTTTTAAACTAAGGACAACATTTAATATTTCATATATATTATATATAGATAGATATACACACTCATTTAAATATGAAAAGTTTAAAAATAAATCACAGGAAAATCTTAAGGGAATAATATTTAATGATTTAATTTAGGTCACTTGGGTTTAAAGTAATAAAAGTTAATTCATTACCACATTAACTACTAAATATTGAGAAAAATTGGTTCCAAATTGGGAAAGGAGTACATCAATGCTATATACTGTCACCCTGCTTATTTAACTTATATGCAGAGGACATCATGCTAAGTGCCAGGCTGGATGAAGCACAAGCTGAAATCAAGACTACAGGAAGAAATATTAATAACCTCAGATATGCAGATGACACCACCTTTATGGCAGAAAACAAAGAGGAACTAAGAGCTTCTTGATGAAGGTGAGAGGCAAGAGTGAAAGAGCTGGCTTAAAACTCAACATTCAAAAAGATAAGATCATGGCATCTAGTCCCATCACTTTATGGCAAATAGATGGGGAAACAATGAAAAGTGACAGACTTTATTTTCTTGGATTCCAAAATCCCTATGGATGGTGACTGCAGCCATGAAATTAAAAGATGCTCGCTCCTTGAAAGAAAAGTTATGACAGACCCACACAGCAAATTAAAGAGCAGAGATATCACTTGGCCGACAAAGGTTCATATAGTCAAGGCTATGGTTTTTCCAGTGGTCATGTATGGATGTGAGAGTTGGACTATAAAGAAGTCTGCGCGCCAAAGAACTGATGCTTTTGAACTGTCGTATTGGAGAAGACTCTTAGAAGTCCCTTGGACTGCAGGGAGATCAAACCAGTCGATCCTAAAAGAAATCAATCCTGAATATTCACTGGAAGTACTGATGCTGAAGCTCCAACACTTCAGCCACCTGATGTGAAGAGCCAACTCACTGGAAAAGACCCAAATGCTGGGAAAGATTGAAGGCAGGAGGAAAAGGGGACATAAGAGGATGACATGGTTAGATGGCATCACCAACTCAATGGACTTGAGTTTGAGCAAGCTCTGAGAGATGGTGAAGGTCAGGGAAACCAGGCATGCTGCGGTCCCTAGGGTTGCAAAAAGTTGCTGGACATGACTGAACAACTGAATGACGACAACTGAGAAAACATGTGTAAAAGATACTGGAAGCTTCTTCAAAAACTTCCAGTATCAGGACTTCCCTTGTGGTCCAGTAGCTAAGACTGCATTCCCAATGCAGGGGGCCTGGCTTCAGTCTCTGGTCAAGGAGCTAGATTCCACATGTCGCAACTAAAGATACTGCAAGCTGCAACTAAGACCCGTTGCAGTAAAAAATATATATGTATATAATATATATATAATATATATATATAAAAGCAAACTTCTGTATCAATGAGGAGTGAAAGTGTTCATTTACGCCCTTAAATATCAACCTTGATTTTGTAACATTTTATCTCATAGGTTCTCAAAAGTCATCAGGAACTTTAGGTAAAATTCGACTGCATACACTATTATTCTTTTATTTTGGGAGAAAAAAATGTATTCTCCAATGTAGAAATTCACTTCAGAATTTCTTTAATAAACTGTAACTTCTACATGACCACCTCAAGGATAGACTATTCTATAATGTACCCTCAGAGTGACTGGCCATAATTATTATAAAATCTTCCTTCAAACAGTGGCTCCCTAACTTCTATCTACTTGTCTAAATTCTGTCAACACCAGGTTTATACCAAGTAACATGAAAAATTGTACTTAATGATGCCAACTATAGAAAATGGAAATCAAGCCAAGTAAAGAGAGAGAAGTCACTCAAGTATCACAATGCACAATGATTTTATTCCTACACATATAAACATATACCTATCCATACACACACATATGTATACATGTATACACACAGATATATCACATTGGAGGCCTCCCTGATAGCTTGGGCAGTAAAGAATCTGTCTGCAATGCAGGAGACCTGGGTTCGATCCCTGGGTGTGGAAGATCCCCTGGAGAAGAAAATGGCTACCCACTCCAGTATTCTGGCCTGGGAAATCCCACGGACGGAGGAGCGTGTGGGCCACAGTCCATGAGGTCACAAAAGAGTCGAACACGGTGGAGAGACTGACATTGAACACTGTATCACATTGACTATGCTTTGAGTTTCATTTGTCCACCTGGAAGAGTAACTCAGGCAGGTTGACAAGGAGTCCAAACCTAAGTAGGGCCCCTTTAAGGAGCAAGTAAACACTCTTTCTTTCTCACATTCTTTTGCCTTAGACAAGCAGGTCTCACAGGCAGCAGCATCTCTTGTTCAAGGACATGCCTTTTTTTGAGCTTTGGATGAACGTTATGGGAGAAGGCCTGGGTAAAACTTCCACAGCCTTGAGCTCTGGGTTAACCTGTTCCTTCTGGCTAATCTCATGCTGATGTCATCCCACGAGGAATGTTATGGCAAAGGGTTTGGGCGAAATTCTCACAGCCTTGAGGCATTTATTATCTATTCTCAGCAGCTGGTTGAGAAATATAAAAGGTCCCGCTTAAACTAGTGAGGCAGGTACTCTCCTGCCCCCTTCTGATGTCTATGTCAGAAGCTTTTTCTGTCACTTTCACTTTAAATAAAATCTATACAAAGTTCTGAGTGACTGTGACTATCTTTGGTCCTGGAGTTAAATCTTCTCCTTTGGAGACCACGAATCCGGTAGCACCATTCACCATCCTATTCTTATAACCAGAAAAGGAAATACATATATTCTCTCAGACTTTACAAGTGTTATTCACACACATGATCATGTGTACATGCAAAATGATCACCCTAGTATTTTTATTAGAAGTGTATGCCACAGCAACTTACACAAAGAAAGCACTCACTAAATCTTTGCTAAATAAATGTTGCTTATAAAATCTCATTATCTAAAACCAAGTAAAAATTAAAAGAAAAAAAAAAAACCTAGGCCTTAATCTAACTATGTAGGAACAGTCCCACAGTGGCCACTGCTTAATTGCTGAATGAATGCTGTTTGAAAATCAAATTATAGGGAATTAATTTTTTTAAACTAGATCTTGATTTAGCTATTATGCAATATACTCAGTTTTACAGCAAGAAAATCATTTTTATACTTTGTCAGTCAACCTATACTCCCAGATGTAGAAATGGAAAATAAGAGATTTTTACAATGTATCAATTCAGGTCTGTATTAAAATACTATTATTTTAATAGTATTATGTTTTATATATTTTATATTGTATATATTATATATTTTAATATTACATAATGTGTATTATCTATATTTATATTTAATATATATTAAATATTATATATTTTAATAGTATTATAATACTATTTTAAATTATGTGTCCTAACCTTTTTCAGTGCACAACATTAAAACAATAAGATCAGTTATGGGGGTCCCAGGAGTATTACCACATTTACGTTAACTATCATCATGTTGGCACTGAACTGACATCAGTTACGCAAGTTTTGGTCTGGTGCAGTCAGTTGATAATAAAAACGCCAAAGTTAACATCTGACTTATTATCCTCCATAACTGATTTTGACTGTGATATATTAGATTTTAGCAACTCATCAGTTAATGCCACTACTGAGTCAATAGTAGACCAGATTTCAAATTGAAAACACACTGACATTGACTATGTAAACTTACTAGAGTTGTAGTAGGAGCAGAAACAGTTGCTTTCAGATTATTCAGTTCCTGCTGGATTAATTTCTCTTCCTCCTAAAAAAGTGAAAATATTTGACTCATGAATAACTGTCTTTTTTAAACTGTTAACAGTATTTTTAAAAGGGAAAAGTACAACTCACAATATTATAAATAAAAAAGAAACATTATTTTAAAGGAGAGTTATAAAAAGTATGTGCTTCAGATTTGCCTAAGGGGATTTCTCCAACCCTCAGAATCATTCCTGGAAAGAATAAACATTTTCATGCTAACTCACCACTCCTCTTTTCTTCACTCAGTTACTGTCCCCTTACGGACAGTTGAGCAGAAAATGTTTTTGTTTTGTTTTGTTTTTTTAACACTGGAGAGTAAGTAGAAAAGAAATTCTTCATGTAGTAGCCCAGAATAAGGTTCTCACACCTTCTTCATGGAATGGATAAAAAGGGTAAGAAGAAAAAAAGAAAACAATCCTTTTCTCTTAAACTATATTCTTCTTCCCTACCTTTTTCCCTTTATCCTTTGCATCCTTTCCCTATCCTTCTATCTCTTTCTCACACACATAGAATAAATACATAAATATGGCTACTTCTATCATCTGCATTGTATTTTACCTCCTTAAGCACTTGAAAATCGGTCCAAATTTTGCCCAATACAATGCTATCTCTAAGTTACACAATGAACTAGCTAGCAGATGCCCATTAAGTGACTAACCAAAAAATACTAGTGAAGTACTGCCACATTTACATACCTTACATACAGTTTCAAACCGCAAATATTTAAAACCAAAAATATTTTATTTCATTTACCATCTCACAAAAATTAGCAAAGGACAAAATGTTAATATTAAGTCCACAAATAATTATTTTCTGTGATTTCTGAATGTGAAACAGATCCTCTCCAGTACATCATCCTATTTCAGTTTTTAAAAAGTTTTTAAACCTTCAAAGCACTTTGAAGAAAAACCTCCTGTCTCTTTTCTTCTCTCCTGACACATATTTCACCATATACTACTTATACCTGTCTTAAGCCCAAGATGAAGGACCAATTCTTTGGAAAAAGGAATGTTTTAGACTATTTCCTTAGGGTTTAACACACAGCTTCTTCCATAAGTATTTTCTTAACAAACAAATTATGCTATACCACATGATCTTTTTTTTAAGATACAAAAATCCTTGAAGCTTTTTATCAGCATCTTACACAATCCATACAACTACAGAAAGTTTCTGGGAACTTAAAATTTTCCATTATAAATGCTCGTTTTCAAAGCCCATCAGAGGCAGAAACTTACTCAGCAAATACTGAGATTGGGAAGAATTACGCTTTTTCTTTGCCCAATCCAGAGGTCTAACCTAAGAACCTCGAGCTCCCCAAACGTGTTCAACAGCAGGTTCAGATAGCAGGGCCTGTTCTAATGTATGCTACCTAGCATACACTAAAGAACTGGGACAGAGCAAGAATCCGAGTTAGAAAGAAACTTTTTAGAATAACGCTGACACTTCCATGGCACCTGGTAATTTTCAACTGGTTGGTGTCTCTTCTAACTCTCGAAACAATCTATGAAATATGTATCGGTACTTTGACACTTCAACGTTCGAGAAACACACGGAGGCTCAAATACTAAAGATTTTGCCCCAGGTAATAATGAGTCACTGTCAGGGCCAACAGTGGAAACCTGGCCTCCTAGTTGTCTGTCTGTCCGGGCAGCCCAAGGGACGCTTCCAGAGAGAAGCCAGAACCGACAGGCACACCCGCCGGAGAGACAGTTCCGGAGGGTTCACCGCGGGACCAGAGCCTCCCAGAGAGGGGGCCTCCCTCAGGCGCCCCTGACCTCCCGGCCCGGCGGACACCTACGTGCTTGGAGGTGAGCGCGGTGATGCCGCGGACCAGGCCGCCCAGCCGGGAGGAGAAGGACGCCTTGGCGGCCGTAGGCCCGCCAACCGACTGGTTCTGTAGGAATAGTCCCGGCAGCGCCGTCAGTGTTTTCTCCACTATGTCGCTCATCGCCGCCGCCCGCGATCCGCTCGCCACCCGGCCTCATGCCCGGCCCCTGACCCGCCGCCGGCCCGGCCTCCGTAGGCACTTCCTGTTTGTTTGAAGAAGAAATCTTTATTCGCGTCCGGCGCGGACAAGTACGGTGTTTTTCTCAGAGACGCCGCTAGAGGGCGCGAGAGTCCGCGAGCAAAACACCGCGCTCCAAGCCTGCGCGAATGTTGTCGTCTTGTGGAGGAGGAGGGCCGAAGAATTGATGCTTTTGAACTGTGGTGTTGGAGAAGATTCTTGAGAGTCCCTCGGACTACAAGGAGATCCAACCAGTCCATCCTAAAGGAAATCAGTCCTGAATATTCATTGGACGGACTGATGCTGAAGCAGAAACTCCAATACTTTGGCCACCAGATGCGGAAAACTGGCTAATTGGAAAAGACCCTGATCCTGGGAACGGTTGAAGGCTGGAGGAGAAGGGGATGACAGGATGAGATGGCTGGATGGCATCACCGACTCAATGGACATGAGTTTAAGTAAACCCCGGGAGTTGGTGATGGACAGGAAAGCCTGGTGTGCTGCAGTCCATGAGGTTGCAAAGAGCCGGACACGACTGAGCAACTGAACTGAACTGAACTGAGAAGGACCGGACGCCCCCGGTTTCGATGGCAACGCCAGCGTCTCGCGCGTCTCTGGCTCCTCCTAAGGTAACCGCTGCCGCCGGTCCTTCCTTCAAACTTCGCCCACCGAAGTCTCGCTTTCGCTTTAGGCGCCTCCGCGCTGCTGGGGACACCACAAGGAGGTGGACATTCCTGGCCCTCTCTCGGCCACTGCTCACTGCCTGGGGACCACCGGCAATCCCTACACCTCCCGCCGCCGCACCCTGAGGGGCGGAATCGAAGAGGGACGGCGGCACCACGCTCTGCCCGGGTCCTGGGGGGCCGGGACCCTGGTGGAGTTGAATGACAGCGCGGCTGTCCTATGGACTCAGCCTGCCGGGTTCAGCCCCCGCCGCGCACGGGGACTCTTGGCCAGTGTCCCTACCCTTCCGCCCCTCTTCTAGGATCTGGGGAGGCAGCCAGCAAGGGGAAGTGGTCGGGTGGCCACCACCACCACCGCCCCCGACCTATCGTCTCGCAGTGTTCTGTTATTTTCTATTTTAAAACGGATGACAGTTGCCACTACATCAATATTTATCTCCCTGTACTGAGAATGTCTTATTCATTGCTGTTATCCCAACTTCGGTCTGGAACAGAATCTAGTACAGTGGTTTTTGAGAATGTGGTCTGATGACTTCTGAAGATCTCTGAGACCCTAAGACAGGATCCAGGAAGTCAAAACTATAGTCACAACATTACTTTAATGTTATTTGCTGTTTTCATGCTTATCCTCTCCAGAGTGTATAGAGACTTTTTCAAGAGGGTAGGTGATTTAACAGCCTCTATTGGCTGGTGAAATGCGTGTTTGAATACTCCACTTGTATTTTATAGATTGAGCTACGGTTTAGGATATGTTGGTAGATAAATGTGTTTTCAGAGATTAGATCGTTTTATTCTCAGTACTTCTAGTGGGTTCTTAGTATCTTCGTGATGCAATGAAAATTCATATTTTAAGGCAAGACAAGAGAAATTTAGACATAAAATTTTTCTGTGTCTATTTGGGTCGGTCCCTCCCCTCTAATGTGCATTGTGCAAATGCATTATGCATTGACCAGACGTCCCCAATGGCAGAAATACCTACTCCACCATAAACATCAATTTTCCTTTTCATTTTTTTTTTTTTTTTTTTTTTGGCACCAGTTATCTAACTCTTAGAAGATAATCTTGCTTTCTCAATCTTGTAAGGGGTCACAATGCTCCACCATTCACCTTCTACCTGTAGACAATTTTAGTGAACTTTATGTACAATGCCAGTATATCATTTCCTGTACAAATAGCTGATGGTGTAAAACAGACTGGTGAGATGACCAGGGGAGATTCTGGGTCACACCTAGTAGAATTTCTGGGCTTAAATATTTATTCAGAATGTTACTAACTATATTAATTGTATTCTCATTGATTTTTTTCCATTATCAACTGTGTGGCCAAGCCTCAGAAAAAATTCATGATGACTATTATTGTTCACTCACTCAGTGGGGTCCAACTCTTTGCAACCCCATAGACTGCAGCATGCCAGGCTTCCCTGTCCCTCACCATCTCCCAGAGCTTGCTCAAACTCATGTCCATTGAGTCGGTGATGCCATCCAACCATCTTGTCCTCTGTTACACCCTTCTTCTCTTGCCCTCAATCTTTCCCAGCATCAGGATCTTTACCAGTGAGTTGACTCTTTGCATCTGGTGGCCAAAGTATTGGAGCTTCAGCCTCAGCATCAGTCCCTCCAATGAATATTCAGGACTGATTTCCTTTAGGATTGACTGGTTTGACCTCCTTGCTGTCCAAGGGATTCTCAAGAGTCTTCTCCAACACCACAGTCAAAAGCATCAATTCTTCGGCCCTCAGCTTTCTTTATGGTCCAACTGTCACATCCATGCATGACTACTGGAAAAACCATAGCTTTGACTATATGGACCTTTGTAGACAAAGTAATGTCTCTGCTTTTCAGAGACCAATCTATGGTTGGTCATAGGTTTTCTTCCAGGGAGCAAGCGTCATTTAATTTCGTGACTGCAGTCATCATCTGCAGTGATTTTGGAGCCCAAGAAAATAAAACCTGTCACTGTTTCCATTTTTTTCACCATCTATTTGCCATGAAGTGATGGGACCAGATGCCATGATCTTCATTTTTTGAATGATGATTATGTTATTTAAGACAATTGGTCAAATATGTAGTCCTATAAGATCAATCATCTTAGTAGTGTAATTCTAGATATGGGAAGAAGCAACAAGAGGGAACCATTTCCTGAACCATAACGGACTAGTAAGACAGGCAGTCCAGAGGCTTTTTGTTACTGTTAACAATGCCTAATCCAGCAATAGCACACAGTGAGGGCCTATCAATGGAATCTGTGCCTGACCTGGGAATGAGCATTCCTAGCACCATGGAAAAAATTGATCACGAAATTACTCCCAAACCTTAGTCAAAATTAAGACCAAAAGAAGATATTTTAAAATAAAGAATGTTACTCACCACCCAGTTCTTCAAAAATCAGGTCATTAGCCACGGCAGTTGCTGACTTAAAATACAACCTGAAAGGAATTCAAGGCAAAGATCAGGATGAGGCACTCTGTGCTCTGAAAAAGTGGCAGAACTGGCTCTCGGATAAGTATTTGTAGGAAAAAAATTTATGAACCCAGTTTCTTAGATCTTCTTGTTCTTAGATGTAAGAAAATTGGGAAAGGGGTACGTCGAGGCTATACATTGTCACCCTGCTTATTTAACGTCTATGCAGAGTACATCATGCGAGCTGGTGGGCTGAATGAAGCCCAAGATGGAATTAAGATTGCAGGGAGAAATATCAATAACCTCAGATATGCAAATGACACCACCCTTATGGCAGAAAGTGAAGAGGAACTAAAGAGCCTCTTGATGAAGGTGCAAGAGGAGAGTGAGAAAGCTGGCTTAAAACATTCAAAAAATAAGATCATGGCATCCAGACCGTCACTTCATGGCAAACAGATGGGGAAACAATGGAAAGAGTGACAGGCTTTATTTTCTTGGGCTCCAAAATCACTGAAGATGGTGACTGCAAACGTGAAATTAAAAGACACTTGCTCAATGGACATGAGTTTGAGCAAGCTCCAGGAGATGTGTGAAGGACAGGGAAGCCTGGCATGCTGCAGTCCCTGGGGTGGCAAAGAGTCGGACACAACTGAGCGACTGAACAACAACAATACTTAGAAAAGCACTAAAACCATTAACTAATATATTTGTTCCTCACAAACAGCGGTAACCTTCTACCAAGATGAGGGCTTAATTGCACATACCCTTTCATCAAACTCACATATACTACCGGCCTCCCCCTGTACCTCTTCAGAACTGTTCTCAGAGCTCTCTGACAGACTGTCTTCCAGGTTATATTCCTCATTTGGCTCAAATAACATTTTCCATTTCCTCTAAGAATTTTGTCAATGTTTATTTATATCTTATTTCTCATTAATCATCCAATAAATGGTATTTTGAAATTCCTAAATTGTGACTGTACTTATGCAAAAACACAAGGAAAAACATTTTGTTGTTTTGCAAGAATATTTTTAATTTATTAAAAACTTTTTACTATTTAAATTTTATCTAAAGCTTATTTTTTAGAATTTAATATTTTATTCTAAAATAAAATTTTATTTGTAATTTTTTTAATTTTAGGTTTTTTCATTGACACACAAGAGAGAAATTAAAAGATCTGCTTTCTCAATCTCCCACATGTAAAGATACTAAAAAAGATGATACATCAGTATCAGAAGATTCTGACTCAGGTAAAGGGAAAAATGTAAGTGAACTGTAAATAAGAAAGAAAAGTGTGACCAAAGCTTATTTCTTTTCCTTGACTTTAGAGATATTAATGGTTTCCCTCAGTCAACAGAATATTGTCAGACACTATCATGGTGCCAGGTAGGTTGAGGCATCATTTTGGGACCAGTCATTCTCAGTTTAAAGGAAAGGAAATTGAATATTTTTAAAATGATAACCTTTCTAGAGAAACGAATATCACATATTAACACATATATGTGGAATCTAGAAAAATGGTACTATGTGCAGGGCAGGAATGGAGACTCAGTCATGAAGAATGGACCTGTGGACCCAACGGGGGATGGAGAGGGGGGGCGAGCTGGGAAAGCGGCACTGATGTACATGAGCTACCACGTGTAGAGTGGATAGCGGGTAGGAATCTGCTGTGTAGCACAGGCCTCAGCTCGGTTCTCTGTGACAACCTAGGGTGAGATGGGCGGTATGGTGGGAGGGAGGCTCAAGAGGCAGGGGATGTGTGTTCCTTATGGCTGATTCACGTTGTTGTACAGTGGAAACTAACACAGCATTGTGGAGCAACTATCCTCCCATTAAAAATAATTTTTTTTTAATGTATAAAAAAAAGCCTGCCGAGAAAGGTGAGAAAACTTTAAAAAATAATAATAAATAAAAATGTAAAATCAAAATGACAACCTCTTTAAAAGCCAAAGCTTTTTTGTTACCACTTTTCAAACTAGAAATGAATAGCCAGCTGAAACATTTTACAGGTTAAATTATTGTATTGCCCTGGCTGGAGAAGGGCATATGTTAGCTGAGAGACTAATAAAGCCTGCACATTACTGAATGAATGCTTGCTAGGTGAAAAGTCTGTGAAAGAAATCATGTTTTC